GATGCTAACATTAGCTATTGCTGATCGTGGGCTAGCCAATGAATCAAATACTCTATTTCTACGGTCATGTACAAAGGTTAGCTAATTTTATTAGTTAGCTCAAGCCAGGTTAAGTTAATACTAGCTTTGTTAAAGTTAGGAAGTAGCTAATTGCTAACATAAATATTTATGTAGTTTCAACACTTTTGATTCCGATATTAATTTCCTAGCTAACAGTAGGCTAATTGAGGCGTTATGTTAATGTTAGCTGTTGACTGAGCTCATGTGTAATCAACGTCAGGGCAGGCTGTGGGCATAGACGATGAAGGTACGATGCTCTAGGGGGCGCCAGTGTGAGTCCTGAACGCTTAAACCAACTACTGGATTGTAAACCTCCCCACTCCTCTCCCTTAGCTCCGCTTTATTCAGCCTTGATTCTCTCTCTCTCTGGTCCACTTCACCAATAACACACTACGCACTCCACGACAGCGAGTGTAGATGAGAAATGTCGGAGAATTCAGATCATGGCAGAAAAAAATAATGAAGTCAGTCTCTTCTGTTTGTTCCAAAAGGGGGCGTAAGGGTGCGCAGTTAGACCCCTAAGTAACATGGAGTGTTATTAATGTTGATTACATAAACTGAATCTGAATATGTGTGTTGTGAGTGAAAAATAAAAATAAAAACAGTTCAGAAATATTACAGTGAACATATGGTAACAGAAAAACACAGAGTGCATTAAATAGCAATCAGTCTGCCAAACCCCCAACTGAGGTTTGTGCTGAGCCCTCAAAGGCCCAAATCCAATCGGCAGGTCTCTGTTGAATTCCTGTTTTGTGTTTTGCCGTGCACTTTATGAAAAGATATACTTTGTTGTAGGAACAAAAATACTATTCTAACATTACTGAGTATCAGTTTTTTATGTTTAGGTTGTTTTGGCATAGTTGTTAGTTTATATTGCCTTTTTCTAAACTTTGGATGAGGGTTGTCTTGCTTCTTATTCTTATTTTATTTTATTTTACCAGAACCAGACACATGCTCAGGTTTTTTGTCACACATTTTGTATTTTGGCTTTTTAAAAAAAGATTTATTAAACTAACTTTACTTCTTCACATCATTGCAGTGGTTGGTTTCCATAGAGGTTCAATCTTCATTTGGCTCCATGTTTTATCACTAACGCTATAAAACTTCATCATTTAAATGGGTTAGATTGAATGGGGGTGAATATAGGTAACAGTCAAGGCAAATTTCTTTCTTCCTTTTTTTTTTTTTTTTTGCAGCTCCGTGTGAAATTGGCTGCCAGCCCAGGACAACTTTATTTAGGATTGAACTCGGTGGACATTTCCAAAGTAATAAGAGGGAGTGGAGCCATATTAAGGAAGAGATACTGAAAGATGTTGAGATGAAACACATTACATCACATATTGATAAAGCACTCTGAAAAAAATTAATTGAAGTTTGTGGTTGCCATCCAAATCTGAGTCCTGAATCTGATGTTCCTCTTCCAGGGATAAGTGCTCTGCTTATTATTAAGGACTGAAGTGAACCCGGCTTATGTCACTACTTGGCAATTGACACTGAACTACACGCAAGCTTATGTAGTGAGACACATTGTACAACATTGGAATCATAAAGTTGAGACCAAGATAATATAAACTGTACCATATTTATTTATATTTCTATCAGAGAGACACAATTAGATTTTTTGATTGGCATACAAATATTTTTTGTTATTGTATTTATAACTAATTAAGGCACAAACTTTTCCTGGTTTCAACTGCTAAAATTTAAGGATTTGATCCTTCTTCCTGTTTTTGTAGGGCTATCATGTTGAATGTATATCTTATTGACTTACGACATACTTTACAGAACTTTTGAACCTCTTCTTGAAATCTGGGAATTCTTAATTTAGATGTCAGTATATTGCGTTTTATAGTTAGTTATAGATTTTTCTAAAATATTGGGTCAGGAGAAACAACGCTGTTGCTATTTATTTTAAAAGCTGGAGCACACCAGACTAACAACAAAGAGCATGCTGCGACAAAAATCAACTACTGCATCGGGTTGTCTGGCCAAAAAGTTGCACGGTTTACACCATACTGATAGCAGCCTACTGCCAATTAGTTTGCGCATTCTGCACAAGTGGCAAAATCTCTCCATACCGGCAGGTCACAGGTGGCATCACTCTGGCATTTGTCACACACAGTGGAAAACCGCAATACCCATGACCAAGGATATACAAATATCAGTGTTTTTGTTTAGCATTTTTCTCTGATTGTGTTGGTGATTACGTCGACTTGAGAAGATGTCTGAAGATATGGAGATGGGAAAATGAGACGGGACTAATGTGCATGCATTGTTTTATTAATGACCTCTGATGATATTCTGATGACAACTAGATATACTCTTTGGTCCATTCAGTTCATTGTTATGTTGCTCAGAGTCTGCAACTTGCCAATGATGTGCTGGATCAATAAGCTGATGGAGGCAAAAAAAAAAAAAAAAAAAAAAAATCCAAAAGGCTTGACTCATGGCCGTGTCTGTCTGCCTGCCTGCCTGCCTGTCTGTCTGCCTGCCTGCCTGCCTGTGTGTTTGTCTGTGTCAGGATGTAACTTTCACAGATGAACCTCAGAGTGGAGGGTTTACCTGTTACCTGACATGTTCCCGTCAGAAACATGAGCATTAGCATTGAAATTAACATTTCAGTCCGAACCAAAAATTCTACATCCTGCTGATGTATCTAAACATCAGGTTCATGTTAAAAAGTGAATGAAGCCATGCTGGTTTCCCTGTCAATCTGCTCCTCCTGACCTCTACAGTTCATCTGCTGCAGCATCATCACAACCAAACATGCACGGACTAATCATGCACAGATGGACAGACTGTGTGACGCAACCTGTACACACACGTACACACACACACACACACACACACACACACACACACACACACACACACCTCTCTCCTGCGTCATGTGATCACAGCGTCAGCTTTACAGTCGACTTAATCTGTCTCAGATTAAGTTGTCTTTGTCATGTGACCTCCGCGTCTTCACACTCTGTCTCTACTGTTTAAATAGAGGCGTTTAAATGTTGGCATGAAGGACGTTTAATTCAGGAAGTGGGCAGGCCGTTAGGTTTAATACTGCTTTCTTTATACGTGTACAGCAGACACACATGTTAGAGGATCGGCAGTTGAAGAAATATTCTAAACTCACAAATGTACAAATAATCTTTTATTTTGATAATCAACAAAAACAGTACTTTAGCAACACTAGAACATCATAATCATGATGCAATTGTTTTATGTATAATTTAGTCCTAACAACAATTTTTAAGACAAAAGATATCTATGTATGAATTGTCATTGAAAACATGCCTGTGGCTTGTAGAAATGAAGAGCATGTATTACTTATAGTCCGTTCTTCTAAAATATGTAAAACTGAAAATACAGCCATGAGTTGAATTAGCTTTTTAGATTTTTCTTGTCTGGGCCTTTGCAAAAATAAGTGTGATTTTCCTCACCTTAAGCTGCGTCATTCCATCAACTTCCATGAGCAACGAGCCAACAATTTTTCCACAAACCTGCAGACAAACTCGTAAACATAAAACTCAAAAAACAGAAAAAAAGCCACAAAAAACACAACCTCCGTGGTGGAAATACGGCATATAGCTGCTCTAGAACTATGACTTTTAAAACTTCATGTTATAAACACTGGTAGTTTTTAAAGAATTACGTGGTACTTTAAGCTGCTTATATCAATGATTTGTACTAATTTTTACTGTTGTGAATTACTCTCATGGCTATCATAGTTTTGTTTTTAGAGAGACACCTTAAAGGCTTAATATGTGATTTTTCACACTTAAATGTAATAGAAATCAAGTATATCCTCTGAAAATAACTCTGAGTCATGACTGTCTTCAATGGGTGTAACACCGGAGTCCCACTGTCTGTGATGCTTTCCGAGTTTTCCGAGTCCTATCTTCAGTTTGTTTACATCGCCAGGACAGCCGGCCGGGTCATCCCCTCGCGTATAAAAGTTGTTTAATTGAGGGACTAGAGAAAGGAAAAATAACATACTGTACTCACTGCTTAATTGAATGTCACGTAAGCGATTATAGATCACGGTCATTCCGGGTAAATTTACCTGCAGTGTGAAGATACGAGCATAATAAAGATCGCTAGCATTAGCATGCTAACACAACAATGCAGCGCGAGTTGTTTTGGTTTCATGCTGGTGCACAAGGGCGACATCTGCTGGATCAGAAAATCGCATATAAAGCCTTTACATGAAACATTGCCAGATACAGACAAGGTTAGAGTTTAGCTGATGAACATAGTGAATCATAGTAAGCAGCTAAAGAGACTGACACTCCCCTCAGGAGGTGGTGGAGACCAAAAACAAAGCTAAAATAGAGCAAATATTTGACTTTCAACTTAAAAGGTGGCCTAAACAAGTCTCTAAAATAATTGTAATGTTTTTTCTAAGTGCTGGATGATCAATTAGAGACCTGTTTGCTGAAGTTTAGGATGCATATCTTTAATGCGTTTTTTTTCATCTGGTTTTTGCTGCACACAAGTGGCACAAATAGTCAGATTTTAGGCTCACTATTATTTTACCAACACTGAAATATTTGTATGTTGACATTAACTATATCAGGAAGACTAAATGCTCTTGTAAACTACAAACAGTTGGATTTAAAGACCACATTGACAACAACAACTTGGCTGAATCTTCAGCGTGTGGCACAGTCAGGATTTAGGTTGCTGGGGGATTTCAGGGATGTTGCTGGGTCAGTGGATTACCTTGTAACAGATCTGTGGGCGGGCTTTATGACACACACCGGATGTGTTGGCTTGTGTACGGGGATTTAATCCTTGCCACAAACATGCTTACTCGTCTGCTGGGTTTGTAAGTAATGCAGAAAACCTAAACCGACATTTTCTAGTATGTTTGTGTCTTTTTCCCTCTTTGAGTCTGTTTTGTTTTTCTTTCTCTCCTCCTCCTCTCAGGTGTGACTAACGCTGCCTCCCGCTCCTGCTGTCTGAACATGCTGCTCGGGTAGCGAAGCCGACCAAGAGGAGCGTCTTGCCTCTTTACACTCCTTCCCCCTCTGGAAACAAACACACACACAAACACAAACACTGCTCATTTCAAGCACAGCCATGCTGATCAAGGAGTATCGTATCCCCATGCCAATGAGCGTGGAGGAGTACCGCATTGCTCAGCTTTACATGATCCAGGTGAGTGATTTTACACAACAGAATCACACACTTAGACTAAGAAAAGGGTTGTTTATGTTGTTTCAAACTGAAGGATTTAATGAGGGAAGTCTGTGTTAGTCTGGTTGAACCAGAGAGCAATAAATCTGGCCTGTTTTCTAAGAATATGTGGAAACAGCACAGATTCAGGTTTGTGTGGAGGTCAGGAGTTTAAGGTGTCATTGTGTTGAGCTGTATTAGTACAGCAGAGCGCTGGTTTAAGGGTCGGAGGGGCAGCATGGTTCTGCAGACCAGATGGTGCTCCGTATGCTTGTGGATTGTGTGACATTTTATTATTTTGTGCAAGTGCACACCTTTAACATTCCACAAAAAGTGGACTCTGCAAAAAAGAGTAGGAAGTGATTTAGTCTTACATAATTCCAAGGAGTGAATGCATCCTCAAATCAAGGTCCATAGGCACTTACTGTAAGTTCATTTGAACAAAAACTGGTAAAAACACTGAATGAAGCAGATTCACTCTAAAAATCTGTCACTCAGAAACCAAGTGGCTGCTAACTTTAGCTCAGCTGTTTCTTTGATTACTGAAGTTGAGGACATTTAGTCAATAAAATCCTTCCAGTATATATTTTTTTAAATATTTACTTTTGGGGCTTTTTTCCTTTTATTTAGACAGGACAGTGGCTAGAGTAAGAAATCAGGAGTGGGAAATGACATGGAGCAAAGGAGACACTTTTCGGACTTGAACCCGAACTGCCCAGATTGAAGACTATAGCCTCCGTACATAGGGTGTTATGTAATCATTAGGCCATCAGTGACTCCCAATAACTAAATCTTACGGGTCAAAATAACATTGCAGGACTTAAAGCACAAAGGAAGAATTCAGCTTGCAATTTTTTTTTGAACTCTGAATAATGTGCATCACATGGACTCTTGAAGGCCGATGTGGGAGTTTTGGACTGAGCATTGAACTGAAAAAACAAAGAAGGATTTGTCAAAATTTTATGTTGAAGAGTCGAACCAGATTCAGAAAAATTGGTGTTGGTATTGATGATGTCTGTTATGTGCCTCTGCTTGTTGCGAGTGATATGTACTTCTTTCAAGTTTGGAAAGTAACTTCTGAAGCTTGTTTGAGCACCAGTTGTTACAGAGCATATAGTAAGGCAAATATCCTTATTAACCCCAAAGGACAATTTGTTTTACTGTCTGCAGTTTTCACTTAAAGGTCCCATATTATGCTTTTTCTGGTTTTATATGCCATTAGTGTGTTTTCCAAGTGTCCTGTGTATGTTTAGGCACATCTATGTGCAAAAATTCCGCGGAAACGCAGCTTCTCCTACGTCCTCCTGTTAGCTGTAGCATTAGCTGCATGTAACGCTCGGTTCTAGCCCCTCTGGATAAAAATTTGTCAGTGCGGCGTCATTGTCAGTGTGAGATCACTGATCTAAGCCCATTGGCTCGTTGTGGCAAGCCTAGCAGCTCATGTTGAAATGTCTGAGACGCGTGCTGAGCAACTGACCAATTACGACAGAGCGGATCGGCAGACCAATCAGAGCAGACTTGGCCCATGTGGGGTCTAACAGTGTGGGCTCAACAGAGCGTAGCTGACGGACTCAGAGTGTAGAGGGAGCAAGGAGGGGCAGTACATGAAAACAGACACTTTTTTCGGAAATGTATCTTACTGTAAAGTTAAAACAAAGAATAACCATGAATTGAGTTTGTCAATTCACTGCACATCTGTAGGACCTTTACTGAACGACATCTTAAATAAAGATGACATGAAGTCTGCACTAGTCTGCTTTTAGCTACTTTAGCTCTATAAATAGATAGTGAGTTGTTCATCTAAAGTGGACAGGTGCATATCCAGAGAGTAATATTAGTAGTCGGACATTTTGTTGAGGTGTTTAAATCTTTTAGTTAAACTCATTGCTTGGTGATTTTGGCATGTATGCATCCAGGGAATAGCTTTGTTTAGTTTGAATACTTCAGATATAAAAAGGTTGATTAGATAATATGCACATGAAGTAAACAGAATTTATATGCAAAGACAAATTTTAAAAAAGCGTTATTGTTGCACACAGTTAAGTCATGGCTAAAACATTTCAGCACTGCAACGAGGCAATCTAAACGAATAAAAAACTATAATAGAAGAAAGAAACCCACAATGATTTGAGATAAAACAACAACAACAACAACAATAGTTAAAGAACTACGAAAACCTTCAGCAAACCTCTTTTATGTCAACCCTTATTATACACATCATTGCAAATACATGCACACATCCACTGCTGGACCACACCTCCTGCTACAGCATCACAGTTGAACACCAGGTTGCCACAGTAACCGGTGACATCAGCTGCAGAATGGCAGTGGCTGCCATAATTTGTTTGTGATGCAGGTGGAAGAGAGAGAGAGCGAGAGAGAGAGTGGTGGTGGTGGGGGGCAGTGATGGAAATCCATAGCCATGACAACATTACGTCTATCTCTAAATACAGTACGCAGGTTTAGTTGGTATGCATGGCTGGTGTACAGGAGGGAGGACCCGATAGCAGGAGGGAGCATATGTTTTTCTCGCTCAGTGTTTGATTTGATTTGGTGCGATCTAATAACTGTAAACACACACACTAGTTTAATTAGTCTCAATGCCAGAATTACCTTCCTGCTGCTAAATTAACAGTAGTGCTTCAAATGTTGATGAATCTGCCACATCCTCTATAAATATGTTTTGAAAAAAAGTGGGATATGTGAAGACAGAGAGAGAAAGCTGAATAGAGTCAAACAAACAGAGCAGCAGTGACAGATAATATAGAATTATGGATGGAAAATAATAATAGTAAAAACCTGTGGAAAATTAGCAATAACGGTTTAGTGATGATGCAATATCTATGAATGTTAATAACTGTAGCAGTTGGTGTCAGGGCTGAGAGTATGATTGTATGGGTTCTTTTGCAATGATGCATATGTTCACAGCATGGGGCCAATTTTAATCAGAATGTGTTTTTATTACCTCATTAGAATTTGTGCAAATAGCACAGGAGGAACAACACACTATTCACATGGTTCCAATTTTTTGAGGTCACTCCAGTCAATTCTTAAATCAAATATGGAACTCAATAATCCCACAACAAAAGTACACTAAAAAGCCTTGAATTTTCCTTGTTTAAAAAAAAAACCTTTTTATCTAATTCTGTATATCTAGTTGCAGTTTCCTTCATCTTCTTGTTGCAATTGGACTTGTTTTGGTTCTGATGACACTAGAAATTCAGCAGATGCAGCATCCTTAGGTTTAAAAACGTTCCATTGTTCTTGATGCTGAAAGTTGAGAGGCAGAAAGTGAACTGAAGGTTATGAGGTATAATACGGTTTCTATTGCTTCCATAGCTGACCAGTTTAATTTTTTGCTTCACTCCCTCAGTCTTTCTTTTAGTTTATGTTTGCAAAAATATATCATCAAAGACCTTCAGAGGTTATCACATTTATAGAATAGCCTCTTTTGTATTCATAAAGATCTATACCTCCCGTGGAGAAGCTGAATATAGTCAACACTTGGCGCTCTTTGCTCTGAGCTCTCAGATGTGTGTCATTAATACAGATACTGGGTGCAGCAGCGCAGGGTAATTTAAGGGGCCTCGGCTCCTCTCCTAAATTACATTACCTGCTAGATTACAGCAATTTTCCAGCTGTTTGCCTCCTCTGACCTTCATTACTGATAGCACCTCCCTGAAGTCTTCAGGAGAGAGCTGCATGTTCAATCTGAGCTCTCCTTCTCGACCCCCCCCCCCCCTCCACTCTGCCTGTTAATAATGATCACCATGATTTGCATTCACTCGCTGCTGTTCCTTGATGTCGAGCACATTACAATAGAGGGAATAGAACAGCTTTTCAATCATCGGCTTGGAGCAAGGATACAGTGTCTACAGTCATCTGACAGTTATTGTGTAGACCCAAGAGTCAAATTAAGACGAGGAAACCTTTGCAAACAAGATTGAAGGTTTCATAATAATTCCTTGCATTTCAATAGTGTCCTCGCAACCTTTCGGGTTCGTGCTCTGGTCGTAATTATTAAAACTACAGTGCAAATACAAAGGTAATTTATATTCCGAGTTCCATTTTACAGCAGTGTGATATCCTGTTAGGTCATTTGAGGCCTGAAACATACAGTAGGTGTACATTATTAACACGGGAAAGCACCTGCTCCAGCTTCAGGGTGTGTTTTTAGAAGGTTGTGTGTTAGCTTACTAGATTGTGTTTGCACTTGAGTATATTATTTTAAATAATATCTTACACATAGGTTGGTTAATGATAAATGCTAGATTTATTTTTGGGCCTTTTGCCTTTATTCTACAGGACACAGAGTGGGGAATGACATGTGGGGAAAGTAGCAACAGGTTGGACTCGAAACCGCGCCGCCTGCTTGGGGGACTATAGCCTCCGTACATGGGACGCATCATCACCGCTAGGCTACTGGCGCCCTTACAATGCATGCTATTTCTGTAGATTTTTGCATTTTAGACTGTGGTTAATGGAAATGAAAGCCACTTTTGGCGTACAGAAGGCCAGCAGATGCTGCTATGTGACACAAATATTGAAAAACGTTATTTAATTTGACATTTTTTGGAATATATTTTTTATTCCAACAATGATCTGACTTTCTTTACAAAAGGTGTTTGGAAACCAGTGATTCTGCAACTTGTTCACAGACTTTAAAATGTCAATATTCAGATGCCATTACTCCCCCTTACACCTCCTGTTATGAGTAGGCAAGAGAAGGCACCATCAGAGTGAAGATGGATTCATTCTAATAGTTATTTTTAATGCCTGTAATTCACTGCAGCGGTAGGTATCTTACAAGGGGACTAATGGCACATTAAAGGATCAGCTTCTTTTTACTTTTTTCATGTCAGATTCACATTGAGTGATATATCGACAGATCAAAGAAAGCATGATGAAAATATTGACAGAAAACACTACTTACAACTATACAGGTATATACCGTATATATCATTAAAGAGAAAAGACATACCACTTGTCCACAGGAGGCGCCCCAACCGAATCAAAATGAAGGTTTCTCACAGCATTTCATGCAAACAAGCACTTAGGGCCTGATTTGGTAAGGTCCCAAGTAAAGAGTACTAAATTGCGTGTTCACTCCAAAAATTTGCATGTTTGGTTGGTGGGCGATTTGCGGGCGATCTACTAAGAAAATTTGCAGGTGCAAACCGTGTGGAGGCGGTAGGATTTAAGTTAGTTAGTTATTTTACTGGTTTACGTCACAGAGAGTTTGGACAGAAAGCAGGATGACTGCAAGCGCAAAATAGGTATTAGTGGGAGAGGCAAATAAACGCACAATACTTTTGAGTTATAGGAGATAAATCTGAATATTACAAAGAAAATGTTGGTTATAAGAAAACCTCGGCATTAAACGGGGCCTCTCTTTTCTTCCCTTAATCTTAAGAAGGAATTGTCACACATTGCGCAGGGGGTGCGAGCTGTGTCCTCTGTGGACCGGGCGCTCTACACTCGCCGTTGTTGCGCACCAGACAGCTGGCCAGTGCTGTGTCTGATCGGACATAAATGCCCTGGAAAGGGCAGAGCTGGGGGAGAGACGCGCAACCCGAGAAAAAGGAAATCCCCAGTTTAAAATGAAATGTTGGTGAAAAAGAGGGAAATAGGAAGACATAAATGTCAATGTTGAAATTCTATAGAATGCAGAGGCTGTGAATGTTCAGTTTTGTTTGGCTATAGGTATATGGCAACAATCGGCTATAGTTTATTCATGGTGTTTCTCTTCTTTAACGATTAGGCTATTGAATCAAATTTAAAAATAAATGCATGCCATTTATTTTTCTGTCATTTGAAACATGTAAACACTTGTGGGTAAAAACGCGATCTTTATGCCTTCTTTGTTGTGCATATGTCTCCTCCTAACTTCAACAACAGCAGCCTGTTGTGCGTAACGCAAACACAGTGCTCCTGGGTTAGCACGTTCCTTTCAAAGGTGTTAAATACAGACACTGTCACAATCACTGCAATTTTTGTCAGGCTTGGTAAATCGCAATGCGTGTACTAACTTAACTTGTTTGCATTTTCTCCTCCCAGTATTTTGCACGCTAGGGCAGAAACGATCCATATTGCATATTCATTAGGCAAACAAATTGTCAATGCGTGTTGTTTTGCTCATTTGAAAGACGCAATCCTCACTGCATGTCGTTAGTAGATCAGATAGCACTTTTTTTGCTGGTGGTATGAAGTCTGCACATGTTTTAAGACACGCAAACCTTTAGTAAATCAGGCCCTTAGACTTTTATCAGATATCGAAATTCACATCTTCAACCCTCCAGAAGTGATATCTGTTAGCTTCTGCCACCAGTGTTCCTTTGTCTCACTTGGCTGTAGCCACACATGTGCAGGTACTTCAAAGCACTCAGGCAGTGGGCGAAAATTGATACATGATGCAGACTTGTGGTTTCAATCTGTCAGATATCAGATTTTAGCAGATTTAAGCTGTATCCCAAGGAGATGTTGTGTGTTTATAAACTGATGTTGTAATCCAGGACTCCCCCTGTGAAGCAACAGGAGTAATACGCGACTTAGTTTAAAAGGATCTGATGGGTCAAACCATCTGTTATGATTTAAAGAAAGGAGGTTACATCAGCGACAAAAGGAAAATAATTTATCTGTTTAAAAGGCTTCTATAAAAGTCTGCCTCCCTGCACCTGAACAGTAAAAAAAAAATAAACTGATCACAGAGTTTGGATTATTCGGTGCTGAAGGTGTTTTGTGAGGAGGATTTGTGGAAGAGAAAGAACAGACGGAGAGTATAAATAAGATGTGCAATCTGACTGAAAGAACTCAAAGACAAGCAGTTTCTTTTTCTTTCTTCCACATGGCAGCATTTTTCTTTCCAGCTCATCACTTTGCTTCTGCTGCATCATCCATCCAGATCTGTGAGGGCAGAGGATTTCACAAGGTTAGACAAGACCTGAAAGAGAGATGGGAGCGCTTTGTCATGCTGGCAGGGGTTTTAATGTGAAGTGGAAGGAAAGCAGCGACGCTGCCAGTTGAACAAACTTGGATGGGGCTGGACCTGCTGGCTTTGGTTTTTTGCAAATTAATTTGCAATATGGGATTATTTGTTCCCCTCACTGTATAAAATAAATTACTTTCCCACATTTTTTACAGTTTCAGTTTTATTCACTCACCAAAGCTGTATTTCCACTGAAGGAACTTCCCCCAGGGTCTAGGTTCTCTACTTAGCTCCTGATACATTGTTAACCTGACCAGAAAGGTCCTGCACAGAGGGTAGTACTCGCAAAAATCACAGGAACAATAGGGTTGTGGCTTTTCTTATTGGTCCATTATTTCAGCATTTCATTTCAGCTGTGTTCCCGCTTTGCTGTTACTGCTATTCTCTTTTCCATTAAGGACTCATTAACCCTTTACACATCGCCAATTCAGGGCAGGACATTTACGCCCTTGTAATGTGTAACACAGAAGGAAAGAATGGTGATGTGAATCTGTTTTGACGCTGAGCCAGTATCAGAGGTTGTTACTGAGGTGTAACTGCAGCAAAACAGTGGCAATGTTTATGGACAGTGCCATTTGTGTCTGCATGTCTGCATGTGTGTGTTAAGCTCCTACTGCTGCATGTTTACATGTCATGCATCTTGTACTTCCACAATATGATAATGCAATTTAAAATCACACACTGGTGCAGTACACCATCATTACTGTAGGCCATTGTCAGTGTAAAAACAGAAAGGTGTATTGATGTGGGAAAGACAACAACAAGCTGAATGAATGTTTGAGTTTCTTGACAAGTACAGTAGTTTCTGTTACTAAAGGTCTGGGATACATTGACTGGAGAGGCAGCTGAAAATATCTATTAACAGTGCAAGTAATAAGAAAAGTTTTTACAATCACCCATAGGCAGCCTTTACAACATCCTATTGTTAATTAGTCCCGCATTGCACAGTACAAACTAGATATCTTGGCTGGTAACAATCCATCACAGAAATGAAGGCGATGTTGTGTGTTGGATTGAATGTTCAATGCTAAGAAAACTTTTTTTTGCTGAACATTAAAATTGAATACAAAACACAATGCTTGGGTTGATAACGAAATTGTGCCTTTAGTCATTTTGTCCAGTTGATTGTGCTCCAACTCATTAGGTGATCATTTCTCAGCAGTTTGTGCAACACTCAACATGAAAAACATCAAGGCCAATAAGATGGTGGTCTGCTCTAGAATTTGGTTTGCAGTACTTTACACAGACATTTTGGTTTTGAATTAATTTAGACAAGGACTTTTTTTCAGTGTAAAAATACAATATATGAACCAATAAGTGGATTCTATTAGATATGTTAAATACTGTGTCTTATTTACCATCACAATTTTGTGTTTCTTTTGGATAGACTGCAGAAAAGCAAGTCCAGACCTGAATAAAAGTCGTTCTCTGATATTTTTTTAGTTATGAATTATTAGTAGGTTTGGAAAGCAAAAATGTAAGAAAGATGTATTTAATTAAAACATAAAACTGTTTGGCTGCTTAACTGACGTACTTTGATGTTAAAGAGTTAAAAGTAAAAAAAGGATTCTATGTCTAACAAATTGATCCTATTTTCTAACGGTATCTTTCATTAAAAATAACCCAAATACTTTACAGTATCAGCATGCAAGACAATGTAGTGTAACTTCAAATAGAGCCCACATCTCATCCTCCTCTCTCTGTGTCCTGTCATCTTTCTGACACTTTGCAGAAAAAGAGCCGGGAGGAGAGCTGCGGCGAGGGCAGCGGGGTGGAGATCCTGGAGAACAAGCCTTACGAGGACGGACCCGGGGGCTCGGGTCAGTACACACACAAAGTCTATCACATCGGCAAACACATCCCATCCTGGTTCTGTGCCATCCTGCCTCAAGCGGCCCTGCGCGTGGAAGAGGAGTCCTGGAATGCCTACCCTTACACACGGACCCGGTGAGTCAACCTCATAAGACTCACAGCAAGTCTTCAGATCCTTACATTAAGAGCAATTTGGATAACTTTGAACCAAGGACCGATTTTTACGTGTTGGTGTTCAAATGACTAAAAAGTTAATCTTGTTTTGGAGATACTCCATTATAGTGCTTCTGCCTGCAGCCCTATCAGAGTGTAAGGCTGCAATTTAATCCATGGGGCAAAAGTGGGCTATCGTCGGGGCGGCAGTGGCTCAGTCTGTAGGGACTCATGTTGGGAACCAAAGAGTCGCCAATTCAAGTCAGTGGACCAAATCTGGAAATTGACAGGCGGCCCCGTCACTCTGACATCCTCCATTAGTGCATGTCCATAGGATCCTGTTTATGCATGTGTGTGTATTTCAGCCTATGTGTGTGTGTGTGCAGCGTGATCAGTAACAAGAGTGTAAAAATTGAATTTACCCTTGCAGGATTAGTAAAGGATATATGATCTTTAAAATGTTTGATATTACCTGACAGGCTCAGTTTGTAATTCTGCCTGTATATACGAAAGAATGGGAATTCTCTCAGGGATCCTTTCTGTAAAGTGTCAGAAAATTAAAAAAAACAATCTGAATCTGTAAGTGGCAAATAAATGAATAAATAAATAGCAGACATTCTTTGGTTAACCCATTATAGCCTTTTTCATGGCTGCAGTCTGAGGCAATGTTCTTGAGTAATTCTAAATCTTTTAGTCATTTGGACCAAGAAAAGAGTAGAGAATTAAAGATGTAAGGACTTGAGTACATGTTCTTAATTAGAATCCATCACATTACATTTTTAAATGGAAATTGACTCCCAAAGCAGAATTTTGAAATGATGAGTGCGGTTGGTTCTAAATAAACTATTGCAAAAACGGCTCCGACACTGAAACCACCCAGAGCAATAAAAACATTTGCTTTTTGGCAGGCTGGCATCACCTGGAGTAGAAGGATTGACCTTTGAGTAATAAAAGTGTGTTAATGGTTTTTATTATGGGGCTTTTAATTCCATTAATTTCACCAATGAAACAACTTTTGGTTGTTTTTTGCTGAGGGAGCAGTTTTTTCATAAAGAGCCGTTTCAGCTGAATAATCATATTTTCATTAACTGCACACACTGTTGCCAACTTTTTATGTTCGCCTGATGTCTTAATCCTTCAAACAGCCCCGTCAAGTCTACTTTTCAAGACGAGCATGATGTCATGTCCTTGGCACTGATTCTGGATTCTTATAGATAAGATATGAGGGATTTCAGTTAAATATTTATAGCTCCTCCATTAGGTTTAAGCAAATCTCATGCACATTAGAGGCCCTGCAGACATATTTTCTTAATCAGCCTGTTGCCAAGAGAGAGGGAGTTTTTACATGGACATTTTTAAATTCAAGGACAGTTTTTTTCACTTGTAAGACTTGTGTGTTTGTGTGCTTGGTCCGGGGTTCGATCACCAGCCATATGTCAGGTCCTTGGGCAAGACACTGAACCCCAAATTGCTCCAGCTGCTGTGTCAGCGGCCAGTGAATGTGTATGAATTAACAAACTATTACTAATGGTCACTTTACATAGCAGCTTCTGCATCAGTGAATGGGTACGCTTGGGAAGTTGTGACCTGCAGTGTAAAAAGTGCTTTGAGGAGTCAGAAGACTAGAAAAGTGTAATACAAGCTATACAAACTATAAAAGCTCAAATCCATTTAGCGTTTACCATGCATGGTAATTCCATGTTTTAATCAAGATCAAGCAACTTTGAATGAAAAGGGAAATTAATGTTTCTGCTTTTGTCTTAACACTTGCTGGCCTTGAAATCTGATCAGTCTGGGCGCTCAGATGTTTCTCTCCAGAAGTTGTCTTGGCCACTTCGGGCATCATGTAATATTCATACACATTTTCGTCAATATTCAGTCATAAGGAAACAGTGGTTCATTAAGACATTCAGTGAAGAAGCAAAAGCTGTAGAGCAAATCCTTGCAAAAGTTTATAGTCAGAAATATAGGCCATGCAGTAAGACTTCAACAAACAATTAAAGCCTATTTTTGGAGTTCATCACATTAATCTGCCAATTTTCTAAACTGATGGATTTTGGCTTACGGGTTCAAGATCTGTTCAAAACCAGTTCACTTCCTAAAATGTGAATAAAGCCACAACAATAGAGCCTCAATAAAGATGAGATGGAACCAGAAAACGTTGGTGGTCAGTGACCTTCGGATAAATGAATGAATTACATGACAAACCATTTAGATTGTTGCAGTGCAGTTTAAGTAATAATGCAAAAAGTATATCACTTGTATGTTTTCTAACTCGGGTGTCTGAGAGCTTTGGAACGGCTATTTGTAATTCTCAAACTTTCTAGACATTAGGTGTTTGATGAACGAGCCTGTCTTCACAGTATCTCATCAATGGATTTAGGGTTTACGTTACTCAAAAGGCCTATTGACAAAATCTTCTCAGCTTCCTCCACATACTTGAAAAGTTGTTTGTATTTTGTCCTTCAGGTATACTTGTCCATTTGTGGAGAAATTCTCTATAGACATTGAGACATATTATAAACCAGATACTGGAAACCAGGTGGATGTCTTCAATCTGTCCTCCGCTGAGAAGAGACAAAGGACCATAGGTGAGTCTGTCGTCAGTCACCCTGCACAAACACAACCTCAACCACCTTAACCGAAAACTCTGAAGTCTAGATGAGAAAGCACCTTGAGTCAGGTGTTCAGTCAGGATGTTGTGACATCAGTTTTGCATTTGTCTGATTCATAATCATGATTTTGTCCCTCTTCAGACCCTATAGACATTGTGAAGGACTACATCGCTCCTCATGAGTACCTGGTGGAAGAAGACCCAAAGCTGTATCAGTCCCTTAAGACAAAACGAGGTCCTTTGTCAGACGACTGGATTGAAGAGATCAACCAGAGTCCGGGTCGATGTCCCGTCATGTGTGCCTACAAACTCTGCAAAGTGGAGTTCAGATACTGGGGCATGCAGTCCAAGATCGAACGCTTTATACACGACGTGGGTAAGTTTGATAGAGGGCAGCTGTGTGTGTTTTTCCTCCTTTAGTTTGTAAGTCAGGTCTTTCTCTTTGATACTAAAGTATAAAGACATAACCCGCCCTAAACAGCAAAAAACCTTATAAACTTCTGCAAGATTTGAAGATAAATAAGAATTTTATCACAAAAAGGATCACATTTTGGGACTTGAGCTAAAAAAGTTGAACATATATCTAAAAGGAAAAGCGGTGAGTTCAAAAATAACCATAAACCTGAGGAAGTCAGCCAGAAAGTTGCAGTGAACCTCTAAAGGTTCTGACTGATTTGAAAGATAACAATAAAAAAATTAATGAATAAAGCAATGGCAATTTAAATGTTGTAATATGGTCATAATGTATCAAACTTCATTATATCAAACTGAATAAAAGGTTTTAAATATATCCAAAAAAGTTAGGTTTAAAGCTATTTCCTTGCATACGACTGAAGTTAAGGGTCTGAAAAAGTCCTCGTTCACTTTATCAGGTAAGGCACCTGGCTCTAAAGCTCCTGCAAATAAATAAGGAGTCTAGAGACATTTCCTGCTGAAGTCAATGTATTTCTGTTTCTCTGCTGGGATCCATGAATCTTGATTCTTCCTTTCAGCCCTCTGTTTGCTCCTTGTAGAGTTTCATTCAGACTCATGAACCAACAGCCACCTCTTCTGCCACACTCTTTAACAATCACTTCTTTCTTTCATTTAATATGCTTCTACCCTTTTTTGTTGTTGTTCTTTTTTGGGCCTTTGCCTTCATGAGATAGGACGGCTGAAGAGAGACAGGAAATGTTGGGATAAGAGAGTGGGGGATGACATGCATTCAAGGGCTGAGGAGGAGACTTAAAGCATGCCTTAGCTCCGCCTCTTTGCCTCTTTCTAGAGGTGTTAAAAGTTAAGTAGAGTAAGCTTTTCAAAATATGGTAAACTCCACTGTGGGATTAAACACCCCTCTTCAAAAACCAATGGATGACATCACTGACACAACATCCATGTTATATGTAGTCTATGTTCAGGACACTCCTGTAAAAGTGATTTTTATTTAATAAGGCAAAATACAAATAATACTTATTCAAAAGTCCAAATTGTTATCCAATTTTAAATGTTAAAAGATGTGAAAAGTGAAAAAAAAAGTATAATTCTCTGAGCAATTTAAATACAAAAGGGCGTAGAAAAGTAAAAAGTGTGAAAAGCAATAGGAGAAGAAATAAGATTAAAATCTCTCATCTCTAAACTTTAGAATGGAGCCAAAAACTGACTTACAAAGAGAACATAACTCTTTATTGTAAAAGTTACAGTATGTCACAGAAGTCTGATTTTGTTCCTTATTAAAAATAATTTGCCGTCCTCTAAATCCTGGTTTGTGTCCCTCAGGTCTTCGTAAAGTGATGGTTCGGGCTCACAGACAGGCGTGGTGCTGGCAGGACGAGTGGTATGGTCTCACCATCGAGGACATCCGGCAGCTGGAGCTGGAGACGCAGCTGGCTCTAGCTAAGAAGATGGCCCAGTACAGCCTCAACGAGGAGGGGGGGCCGGAGATCAACGGCTCCTCTGTGAACCCGGACCAGGGAGCTGAAGTGGGTGGGTCGGCTGCAGAGACAGAGGGAGGAGTAGTGGGGAAGCTTGGAGACTCACTGGAGACACGAGGGGAGCTCACCAAGCAGTGGTCCACCTCCTCCAGGTCCTCCAATAGGTCGTCAAAGAGAGGAGGTACGGATGAGTTTCTAAAATGACATCATTTGTTCAGCGCATGCAAATTAATTTATCTTCTGATGAACTTGTTTTTGTGTGAACAGGGAGTCCATCCCATCAGAACATCTCAGAGTGGAGGATGCAGAGTATCGCCAGAGACTCAGAGGACAGTACAGACGACGAGTTCTTTGATGCTCACGGTAAAATCTTTGTTTCAGATCCCCCTTGTATCGCAATGATGCAGAAAATGTAATTCCCTTCAGATTTACAAAAAAAAGCATTAAAAGTAAACTCCTCCAAGTTGCCACACCAGCAACATCTCCGTCATGATAGAGGCGTAGCAAAGAGTATCCACCCTCGTATTCATATTTAGCCAGTCCTGCCTTCAAAAACAAGATAGCAAAAGCATTAATGCCTCAAAACCAAAGCGTCGGCCTCGCCTGTCACTCTTTGGTGTACTTTCTTTGGTGTCAATTCAGTGAAAAAAAAAAAGTCATAAGAAAGATGAACACCCTGTAAACCCCTGTTTGTAGTTTAGCTTGATATACTGTGTGTATTTCTGCTTTATACCATGGGATTTTTGTAGCTACAGATAAAGTAATGGTTGTTGGTCTGTTAGTTCTATAAAGCAGTTTGAAGTGTTTTGTAGTTCCTTCAACGTCACTGATCTGTTACTCAGATTGGACTTGATGGATGTTTTTAACCGTTTCCTTCTGGGAAATAGATTTACCTGATCCTGAAAAAGGATGCCCCCTCCAAGACCTTTGTTTTCTGTCTATATGCCCACTCACACACAATCACTCTGGTAAGACATACACCTGCCCTTAGAAGAAGGACTTAAAATGTACAAGGTACCAGAAGGTTTTTCTTATATAGGAGCAGTGAAGCAGAGGTTTGATCCCTTTTTTTTTTTTTTTTTTAGCAGTTTTGGGCAAATTCAAGAATAGCAAGCCTAAGCTCTGAGGTTTCTAAAGGGGCAAGTCTACTGAGTCGGTTAAAAAAAAACATATAAAGGAGTCTTCTGTTTCTGGAATTGGTTTCTCTTAGTTTCAGATAGTGTATAAGTCTTCTTTCCTGTGTGTCATGCAGAGGGCTTCTCTGACAACGAGGAGATGTTTGCCAAACAGATCACAAAGTGGAGCTCCAACGATCTGATGGACAAGATCGAAACAATAGAGGCGGATGAAGCACACGGTAGGCAACTCATTACACACATAGCATCCAATTTGAGATATTTCGAGGTTTTGGTTGAATCTGTACACTGACAGATGAAAACCAGAATTGAAATAGACATATGATAGAATGAACGGATGTTTTCACAGAGACTTTGTACCAGGAGTCAGGTGGAGAGTACGCTGTGATGAGTAACGAGGAGAGCGTCATGGAGGTAGGCCTGTGTTTTTTTTATTACTTATTTCATTCATTTCTTTTTCACATTCTCACTTTTAATAAAATGTCTTCTCGACTTCTCCTCCGTTTACTGTAGTGAAATTAGGATCTTCTGTCTGCTGCATCCATCAGCTGAATTTTATTTCACCAGTTATAAAGATTTAAGGGCCCTATTTTTGTTCTGTGAAAGGGGAGAGATTCAGATGAGGGCAAAGAAAGTTTTAGTTTTTTCTGTTGAAACTGGGCCAAATGTGTCAAATTGAATTCATTTGAATTCCATGGTGAAGAGGCAATTTAATGTTTAAAAACATGAATCTGATGTACTGCTTTGAGAGCTTGTGGCTAACTTTCAATCCATGTTTTGGATTTTTTATTTTATTGTACAGTGTTGTTAAAATTATTTTCCCAGCTTCATGCTGTTACTGTCTTCTCTATTCAACGGTTTTTCCCCCAAAATCATTCTTTTTAACCCTGTTTCCTTCTGTCTGCCGTCTGCCTTCTTGCAGGATTCGTCTCGGCAGTGTCTCCAACCATCTAAAATTCACGCCCTCGTTCTGGTGCTGCATGGAGGAAACATTCTGGACACTGGTTCTGGTAAAGGAGCAAACTATCTATCTATCTATCTATCTATCTATCTATCTATCTATCTGTCTATCAAGTGAGTGAGAACTGCTCTAAAATCTAATGGTTCTATTCTTGGACTAGTTATACACTATCCAATCGTATCCATTATCCTGCTGATGAAAAATAGAACCAAAGTATTGTTCCTTGGTAAAAACAGAGCTTTAATATATCCCAATTGGCTGTTTATAACCACTTACTTAATCTGAGTCTGTTTAAAAAGTAAACAATCTAGGAAAAAAACAAAAAAACATATATATATATATATATATATATATATATATATATATATATATATATATATATATATATACACTTTGTGTTTTTTTTTTACATGGAATATCAAATATTTTGTTGTCCTACTTCACAAGAAACATTCAAAGGACAGAAAATGTGTGAGTGCTTCTTGACAGTGGACCCATTCACTCTTTTTTTTAAGGGCCAAACAAAAGGTTTGAATTCATTGATCTAGAATTCCACAAAATACAAAAATAAAACCCAGTTCCTGTCTGTCTAAAGGTGAGCAGAACAGCAAGCAGGGAGACGGAAACACTCTGAGTGGAGCCTTCGAGACTGTGATGGGGGTCCACTACCCTGCTGCTCTGGGCCGCATTGCCATCCGGATGGTCCCCTGTCCAGCTGTTTGTGTTGATGCATTCTCGCTGGTCTCAAAGTGAGCATAACCCGATAATTTAATTAGTACGCTGTAATACATGCTCAACCCCTGCTGTGTTAATGTTAAACGCGCAACCAGAGAAATAATGATGTGTCTGTTCTGCTCGTCAGCCTGAGTCCCTACAGCTATGACGAGGGCTGTCTGTCCAGCAGTCAGGACCACATCCCTCTGGCTGCTCTGCCACTTTTGGCCACATCTGCACCACAGTATCAAGACGCTGTTGCAACTGTCATCTTACGAGCTAACCAGGTGTACAGCGACTTCATCAAGTCTCTAGAAGGGGAGACTTTTAACGGCCAGGTGAGCGAGGCATCCAACGATTTCTACCAGTGGCTTGGTGATGCTTGTACAGATTAAGCCAATTTATCTGTGTTTGTGTATTTATGTTTTTGTGTGTCTTTTTTTTTTTTTTTTTTTTTTTAGGTGTGTGTGATTGGGGACTGTGTCGGGGGTATCCTGGGGTTTGATGCTCTCTGCAGCAGCTCAGTGATTGTGTCAGAAAGCCAAAACAGCAGCAGACGAGGCAGCGCCATCAGTGTCCAGGTATGACTTTAAACTGTCTTGTATCAAATAAGTCTTGTGCTAATGATCCAAGCAAGTAGGGACTGGATCATTTCCCCAAAAGGTGGAGTAGCCACATGTAAAATAGGAAAACCACTAACTCCAACCTCAGCAGCAACTATTTAAGCACACATCGCAAAGCCATCAACCTAAAGGGAAAAAAAACAATCTTGTTGTCTGTTATGTCATTCAATTTAATTTAACTTGATAGCAAAATCTGTTTTTCATAAATCTGTTTTGTTATAAATGCTATGTCTGAAACTAGAAATGTATATTATATATATATATATATATATATATCATTATATTCACTTAAATTCTGTAGTTAGGCCTATATCTTCATGTTAACATGCTAATGTCACAGCATTGTGTATTCTATCTCGGCACGCTACACAACACACTACTTGGCAAACTCTTTTCTAACTTATGGGGGGCAACTAATATAAAGGTTAAAAAAAACAAACAAATAAGTTTACCTTCAGCTCATGATGTGACTTAAAATCACATGTGAGTCTAGGAACAAGCCAGCAGCTCTGTGAGGCTGGAGATTTATGCACAGATTAAAGTTCCAAAACATAAACTTATAATATAGCTCCCTTAATTATGTAAAAAGTGTTCTCTTAATGCTTTTGTCACATAATTTTTTGGCTCCTAAGGGTCTTTTAGGAGCAAAATAATTGACATTAAATCGCCACATTAAAGACAAAAGTAATACATAGATCTTTAGCTAGCCATTCATGAGCATAGGGGGATTGTGCTAATGTGGTTATACATTAAAACTGCAAGATAAAATTATAATATATTTTACCCTTGTTTTAGACCTGACAATGTTCTTTTCTTTCCTTGATCTTGTTTTTTTTTTCAGGACACGGACCTTCTATCTCCAGGTATCATCATAAACAGTGTTTCTCCCTCCTCACCGACCCTTGAAGGAAGTCGCCATCTCAGCCGCAGCAACATCGACATCCCTCGATGCTCAGGTCCTGATGACCCAAAGAGGCAACTTCCACGCAAACGCAGCGACTCGTCGACGTATGAGCTGGACACCATCAAACATCACCAAGCCTTCCTGTCGAGGTGAGACACAGAGGATAAGTCTCCACCAGATTTAAACTAATCTTTGTAAATTTTAGCAAAGGATCGCTAGAGAGACCCCAAACTTGTTGATTTTGAGTAAAACTCCATTGGAAAAACAATAATTTTACCTACAAGAACACAAGAGTTGCTCATTGTCCAGTATGTTTTTTTTTGTATTAATAATATATAAGGTAATGTTGGATCTGAAGTAACAATTTGAAACACCAATTTCTCACAATGACACAAAAGAAAATATGATGCTGCAGCCCTTACAGTCCATTATGGGGCTGCAGGCTTAAGAAATATATGCCATACATTATGTTTCTGTAAGGAACTGAGGCATCAATTAATGCACAATCAGGGTCGATGTGTACAGTTACCAGAAACCCCCTTTAAAGCGCAGGGGCACATTAATGCATTTCATCCAGTATTACAATACACAAGTTTCAGAAAGGGGCCATTCTGGTTAATACATACTTTTGCTTTTTTATCAATTCTAATCCAAATACTATGGTACTTAAACTGTAGTATAGCTATTGTATTTACCTAAAAGATCCGAGTTGTCTCTCTGAGATTCCTGAGTAATGACATAAACGCTATGTTTGTTTTTTCTTTGCGCAGTCTTCACTCCAGTGTTCTCCACGGGGAACCCGGATCCCGGCGCTCCAGTAACAGCACCATGCTGGAAGGAGGATCTTTGGGAAAGTTTGACTTTGAGGTGACTGACTTCTTCCTGTTCGGCTCTCCTCTGGGGCTTGTGCTCGCACTGCGGAAGACAGTGGTGCCCTCATTAGATGGTGAGGAAGAGTTTTTCCTTTTTATTGTGCGTTTGTTTGTTTGTTAGTTTCTGTAGTTTTATTATCAAGTTCCTATTGTACCTAATCAAGCTTTTACTGAAGGTAGAAAAATGAAAAACTACACAACATTTTATTTTTACAATATGAGCAGGAAGTGAAAGTTTTTGAACGTCTGATGTTTTTTTTTTGCTGTGAGAATTTCATGTCTCCAGCTGCTGGAGAGCAGGTGTCAGGGGTCAGACGTCATGTTTCTGATCTCAGAGGCTGAAAATATTCTGCTTGAGATGACACAAATACGTGATAAAAGTCAGTGCTCACTGTGGGTCTGTGTGTCCTTTGGGCTTTAAAGAGGAGAAGCTTCTATGTAAACATACAGTGCATCTGTTTGCTAATAAGCAAATTGACAAAAAGTTTTTCAATTCATTCTTTAAAAAAACTCAACATGTAGACATTAATTCCTTTAGGAAGTAATGTATTTATTATTTCTTTTAAACTTATTGCATGATTTGTCTTTACAAATAGTAAGAGGAATATGATTGAAATTGCATATGATTTGGATATTGCCGGCAGCAGGATGAAACAGGACGTCTGTTTCTGTCCAGAAGAAAAATAATAAAGTAGTTTTTTTAGGATTAAATTTAAAGCAAACTAGAGCTTTGGGGGTTCTTAAAGGCAATTCTTCAACATTTAGATTGAGCCAGGTTTTCAATCCCAGCAAAGCTATTTGTGTCCTATATTTTCTGTAAAGACATGGAATTGTTTCCTCAAAGATTATTGAATATTATTTCCTCAAATATTACCTAAACAGAAGATAAAATGTTTTTCCTGAGCTACAGCCAGTTAATTTCTCTGAATGTGCGAAGTTTATCTCGGGGTGTTTCAGCTCAATGTGACATCATTGCCAGGTGTAGTTACAGGTTACAACTTTTAAACAGGTTTTTTTTTAAATTTCTTTCTATACCCTTTAACTCCCAGTGTGCTCATTTCCCCTCTACAGTGTCCGCTCTGCGTCCAGCCTGTCAGCAGGTTTACAACCTTTTTCATCCAGCTGATCCCTCGGCCTCACGCCTTGAGCCGCTCCTGGACAAACGTTTTCACATGCTGCCTCCGTGCAGCGTCCCTCGTTATCAGCGCTTTCCTCTCGGTGACGGACTCTCAGCTCTCCTGGGTAAGTCACCAAAAACAAGAGACACTTAACTGTTGTTTTACCACATGAATTCTTTACCACAAAGAGGCAAGTCTCTGTACTTCATATCTTTCTCTTATCCGCCTTCCTAGTTGACACCGTTCAGAGTAACCCTCAGCTTCTGATGGAGTCCAGCTGCTCAGTGTACCAGCGCTGCCAGGAGAATAGTGTCAATGAGACGTCCATCCTGTGCCTGTTCTTAACTGGCAGAGCTCACAGCTCCACTCAGACAGTGAGTTTTTTGATTGCAGTGTTCCCCTTATTCTAGTTGGTTTGGTTTGAATTCACATTAAGTAAATCAGTCTTCTTTATTATTTCACCAAAGGAAAAAAAGTGTAACGCCAAATGTCAAACTACTTAATTTATTTACTGATAAAAAAATGTGAGTAAATCCTTCAACGGGACAAAAAAACCAGAGACACAGTCAGATCAGTATTGTAGATTTCTTCACTTTAGCAAAACTTTCATGGAAAAGAAAAGAAATGGTTATCTTGTTTAAAGCAGCTCTTCAATTGTTTCTTGTAGCATCAGATTTCAGAGATTATTTTCCTGACTCACAGCTTTGATAACTGCTCTCATAAAACGCTTGATTAGATCACATTAGTAAATTTCACTTATTTGTTTTATCAATTGAATCTGGTGGCTTTGAATAGTGCTCCCACTTCAGAACCAGCCTCTGTTTACAGTTTCCACGGCAACGTTTTCCACAGTTGAAAACAGATTGAGATTTTTTTAAGAGAAAACATTACTCACACTTGGACCAGACAGGATCATCAAAAAGATAGGATTTACCCCTTACGCGGGGATCTCTGAAATGGACACAAACTGAAAAGTTCCTCATATAAACTTTAAATCATGGGTTGATTATTAGTTAGTTATAAATTATTCTTTGTTCTCCCTTAACCCAGCTTGTTCATATGTTTCCTTTCTTCCGTCTCTGCAGCTGATTCTTCTCACTCACACATGTTTGTGGACGGACAGTACCCCCTGTCCACATCACCTGGAGTCCCTCACCTTCGATGTAACCGCAGGGCGAGTGAGGCCAGCTTAGCCAGCCAGGTGTCAGGGTTAGCCGACTCTTACACCGCCTCCAACATCGCCACCAGTGAGTTGAACACTCACCTGCTTTGCGTAAATCCATGTTTTGGTCTACTAGCTGGCATTTACAGTGTTGACATTCTGATTTCCTCCCAACAAAACATCCCCTCATGAAGTCAGCTCGCCCAAACCGTCCCGGCTGCTGTCCCAGCTGGCTCTGCCCTACAATAAGTTGTCCTGTCGGAACCCGTCCTTTCGCTTGCGACAGAAAATTCGGCAGGTGTTCCCGAAATCCAACGGGGTGGAGTCAGAGCAGAGCTCGGTCACTAGCTCTGACTTGACCTCAAACAGATCTTCTGATTTCACCGATGTCACCTCTGACATCACAGACCTCAACTCTGTGCCCCCGTCACCCAGGGTGCTGAAGAACGTAGAGCAAGGTACCCTGGGAGTTGTAGTAATAGTAAGAGGACATGAAGGAAGGATGCAAGCCTCCATCCTCATTCCCAGTGCTCTGTCCTTCCTCTCTCAGATAGCTCTCCTTCAGTAGAAAAGCGAGATTCAGAATCAATCCTTGTGTGCGACTTCTTTTTTTCTTAGCTCAGCTTCACGGGAACCTTTTCTTTGTTTCCACTCAAAAAAAAAAAAAACTTTGACAAGGTTCTCAAAGATTCTGAGTTTGTTTGTAAATGTTTCCAGCCTCTCTAGACCTTATCACTGTTAGTTTGTTTTGGTATCTCTTATTTAAACCCTTAAACCTCTTACTTACAGTTTGTGAAAAGTGTTCATCTCTTGATGAGCAGAACGTAGATTTGCAGTGGAAACATCAAACAAACATCGAGATAATGGATTCCCTGGTTTGTAATTTTACTCTTTTCTTTCTCTGTAGTTGCTTCTCGGTGGTGGGGCAGTAAGAGGATGGATTACGCCCTCTACTGTCCGGATGCCCTAACAGCCTTTCCTACAGTGGCTCTGCCTCATCTCTTTCATGCCTCATACTGGGAATCCACTGATGTCGTCTCTTTCTTACTACGACAGGTCTGTCGAGTTTGTATATATAAAGTCAAAATTTCAATTCCATCTTGAATTCATAGTTTATTTTTTTGGCAATGCTAGGGTCTTAGCTGATCCATCATTGTGGTCCACTCTGGAATGTCTCAATCAGTATTGGACGAATGGCAGTAAAACTGGGTAAAGCGATTCAATGCTTTCCAGAGGATGAATCCCACAGGCATCAGTAATCCTCTAACACCAGGAAGTCAACATTTATTTATAGTAAAATGTCTTGGCATCTATTTGATTGATTGCCAAAAAAAAAGAAGAATTTTAAGTCAACAATAAATCTGGGGATCATCTGAATTTGGAAGTAATTATCTCATCATAAGCTCTCAAACACATTTTTCAGTGATCTCTGAACATTTCATCTGAGGTCACCATAAAATTTACATTTTTGTTTCAAGTGAAATATCTCAACATTTCTAAAAAAAAAAAAAAGTTGCCATGGGATGGCTACAGTCATGATTCCCAGAGGATGAATCCTATTGACTATGGTGATCTTTGTGGTTGGCACAAATTTGTCTGTCTCATCCGTGGGTAGCTCTGTTGCTGAGGTGTTTTGTTGTTATGCTCTGTTGTGTCAAAGCACTTTGTGAAGCCTCGTTTTTCAAAGCGCTATACAAATAAAGTTATTAGCATGATTAAACGTGGGGAAATTCATGGCCCTCAGATCATGAATCGTAATGAATTTTGTGTAATCATGACTTTTGATCTGAGGTGACATGACATTCACAGTTATTGGTTAGTTTAAATGATATACATTTATTTTCATCTCTATGAGGATCCAGAATATAAAGATCAAAAGAAAGAATCTAAATATCATCTCAAATTCAACCACATTGCTTTGGCAGACTGCTGTGTCATCCTTTTTTTTTTTTGGCTGAACCGTGAAGTGCTGAGACAAGCAAAGATTCCCAGCCAGCACTGTGATCAACAACTTGTGTATAATACTTATTCCAGACTATTTTTTAAATAAATACATATACATATTGGGGGGGGGGGGGCTGTGGCTCAGCTGTAGAGTCGGTCGTCTCCTAACCGGAAGGTCGGGGGTTTGATCCCCAGCTCCTGCAGTTACATGTCCGATGTGTCCTTGGGCAAGACACTTAACCTCATGTTGCTCACATTGGTTTATTGGTGGTGTATAAATGTTTATGAATGGGATTACTTAACACTGATGGACACTTAACATAGGGCCATCAGTGTGTCAATGGGTAGGGGTGACCTGCGGTGCAAGTTGCCAGAAGACTAGAAAAGTGCTATAAAAGCTCAAGTCCATTTACCATTTTACCACTTATATTGTCCTCCCCAGGTGATGAGACACGAAAACTCCAGTATTTTGGAGCTGGATGGTAAAGAAGTGTCTGAATTCACGCCGTCCAAACCTCGAGAGAAGTGGCTCCGCAAGAGGACTCATGTTAAAATAAGGGTAAGATCCTTCTTTCTATTTTTTCCCCTTTGCAAGTATTTTGTATATAAATGTTTACAATGTAGATGTAAAAATGGCTACTTTTTCACACTCCAGCTTAGTCAGTGTCTCCAATACTTTCATTGTCATTGTGATGGAGTCCCCACTTATAATTTTGAGCAATTACTTCATCGGTACCCTCTTCAAAATGATTTGGTGGTATTGGTTTAGTTTAAGTTTTTATCGATTGTTGCATTTATTTACACATACATCGTTTTGAATATTGACTAATTAGTTGTTATCCTCATAACGGTTCTGCAACAACACAATGCTGTGTAACTTTCTTCATTATTGATACACTTAATTCTAGAATCAATCCATAGTCCTAGAATGAAGCACACCTAATTTGATAAAGACAAAGTAAACAAGGTGCTTTATTTCGACTTTCGCACATTTTTCACAGTTCTATTTTGTTTGATGCTTTTTTGAAAACATACGTACTTTAAGGTAATAATATAAAAATGTGTAATTGAACCTTGAAACAAGGGTTTTCAGTAGTTTCAGCAATACATCAGGGCTCCTTGTCACATTTCTGTGACTTGTTAGCCGTTGGCTGTTTCACAGAGGATCGATTTTGACCATCAGATGGTTTAATATAAATAACTGTAAGAGGCCAAATTTAGTCATCCTGTTACCTCTTCTCTGATTCATCATCTCTCACTTCCTCTTTTACTGCTAATACTTTAGTACTTTAACTAAGTAGAAGTGTCAATGAGGTTTTTTGTTTTAGTTTAACTAAAGAAGAGAAATTTGCAAGAAACTCCCAACAGGAGGATTTGGATTGGTACCTAAATGTTGCATGAAAGATGGAACCCAGGCCAACATCTCTGTTGCGCAGCTAGTAAAGCTTAAGTGCTAAGCTTAATTAAAAATGTAATCAACTGAGCGCTTCTCTCATTTGAATGTTGGCAACTGCACAGTTTAAAGAGGTCATACCCTCCCCAGTCCCCGGGTGAAATGACACCCAGCAAGTTACCTCAATAAATGTAACATGGCGACAATATGAGTGAAAGTATTCTGATTTCCTGTTTTGTCCTTTCTGTGTGTCAGAATGTGACAGCTAACCACCGTGTGAATGACGCCGTGTTCAACGAGGACGGAGCCCAGATGGTGACCGGGCGATTCATGTACGGCCCTCTGGACATGGTCACCCTCACTGGAGAGAAGGTAATGATGATGTCCAGCTGTGATGTGCCAAAAGAAAAAAGAAAAAAGGGTTATGTAACAGAAGCATCATCAATTGTGTCATTAAGGTCAATGCGTTATCTCCCGCAGATTGACATCCACATCATGACCCAGCCTCCCTCTGGTGAGTGGGTGTACTTTGACACGGAGCTCACCAACAGCAGTGGACGCATCTCTTACGTCATCCCTGAGAGCAAGAGGCTGGGTATTGGAGTGTATCCTGTCAAAATGGTGGTCAGGTATGATAAGTCACTGTCTGACTCAGGCTGTTTTGGGGGGCAGGGGTATACAAATAAAAAAGGGCACTAGCTGCATGGTGCAGGTCACCAGAATGAATCAAATTGTGATGTATTTATAGTGAAATGGTTTCAAACCCCGGGTAAGATAAAAAAAAAACAACAACTATTATTTCCTGACAAATGTAATGAACACAAAGGAAACAATCAAATATGAAATCATATAGAGGCGAGTGCAGGTCATAATAACTTCTTAGCATAAAGGGCAGCTTTTATGGCTCTGTATCTAGTTTTCACCGCTGAATCGGGCACCCTAGAGTTCACTTGATTTAGTGTAGTCTGCAGGGATAGTTCACCCTGTTAGGAATCTGCGTTGCATTTTCTCCACTTCAAGGACCCCCTAGAGAGCACCTCATCATGTTTTCACTTCTGGAAAGTCAACATTAAAGGACACTGCGTTGTGTTTTCTTAAGTAGAAGAGCACTTTTCTGGGCACTACATCACAGATTTTTCCAATTTAAGGAAACCTCTTATTGCACTGCATCACATTTTCTCCATTAACTAAGTAGTCTAGTGCAGCGGTTCCCAAAGTGGGTGTCGGGACAAGACCATGAGAGGTGGGTCGCGACTTCTTCCAAAAACACATGTAATATATATGAAAAATTATTTAAAATTGCATATTTTCCCCATTATTGTGAACATATATACAAAAAAAATAGATCAATAGATTCATTATTTTCTGTTTCTAGCATTTCTTTCAATACATCACTAAAAGAATATTTGCTTATTAGTCTGCCCGGGTTTTTTAACCACCTCCATGGACAGTGAGTCTCCATGGTCTCCATGTCTCTAGCACCTTATTTTGGGGGTCAAATGCCGAAAAGTTTGGGGACCCTTGGTCTACTGGTCACTGCATTGTGTCATCTGGGAGAGAACTGCAAAAGGCCACCATGTACGAGGGTAACACATCGTGTTTTCTCTTCATAAAAGTCATCCAGAAGTAAACTACATAACACCATCTCCACTGGTATTGAAACTGCTGAGAACACATTTTTCCTTTGGAAAGAACACATTTTAAGGCACAGACATTTTGGGGGCCCGTTGGAGGGAACTGTGCATTTTCTTCAATAAAGAGGCAGTTTCTTGGGTGTCCACTTGCTTGATAACTCCTTCCTCTTTTACATAAAACGTCTTTTTTTCTATATTTCCTTATTTTCACGATATGTTTTTTTTTCCATCTTTCTTTCTGCTGTTGTCTAAAGGGGAGACCACACATGTGCAGACAGCTATCTCTCTATCGTCCCAAGAGCAACAGAGTTCGTTGTGTTCAGTATTGACGGATCGTTTGCTGCCAGTGTGTCTATAATGGGCAGCGACCCAAAGGTTCGAGCTGGAGCTGTGGATGTGGTGAGGTAAGGATCCCACCCAGGAGAAGTCTCTGTAGATTTATTTTGCAGTCAGATGTATACACACTGGTTATCAAGGCAAATGAAGGAGAAGAATTCATGCAACAGCTGAATGTCTGCTTTCTGTATCTAATTATTTTTGCAGATACTGGCAGGACTTGGGTTATGTGATCGTGTATGTAACGGGTCGTCCTGACATGCAGAAACAGCGTGTGGTGGCCTGGCTCTCTCAGCATAACTTTCCTCATGGTATCGTCTCATTCTGCGATGGGCTGGTACACGACCCACTCCGGCACAAGGCCAACTTTCTCAAAACCCTCATTAATGAGGTAAGGAAGGCTGCAAGTTTGATGTGGTCTCATGTCAAAAAGTTCTTGAGTTCTCTAAAAGCAGCTCTCCCTCTTTGATCAGGCGCACATGAGGATCTTTGCAGCATATGGCTCCACCAAGGACATCTCTGTGTACTCGTCTATCGGCCTGTCTCCGTCACACATCTACATAGTGGGAAGGCCGACGAAGAAGATGCAGCACCTGTGTCAGGTATGGAATTAATTCTGATAAACCAAAGGCACCGTCTTGCGCTTTATACCCATCAGAATTCTCAAACAGGGAATTAAACATCATGAAAAAGAAAGTGTGTGTTCAAAATGACGTAAACAGAGAACTCAAAATCAGGAGTACCTTTCTGAATTTGATATGTAAGCTTACATGCAAAGGTCTTAATGCCAACAGAGTCAAACAGGATTTCTTTAGGCAAAGAGTTGGAAACTGCTTTCATTTATTCATGATGTGGGTCATTGTCATTTTTAGAGTGTTATAATTCTTTTATGGTTCAGTTTCGACAGTTTGTGTAGGTTCTTCTGCAACTCGATTGGCCTCTTCATGATGCTCCAGGAGCATATCATTAATTCATGGAAATCTGCCATATTAGGTCAGGTAGGATCACCAGGTCATACAACTGTTAAGGCTCTGTTCCTAAATAGCAATCCGACCATGAAGTGTGGCTGCTATGTGTGTCTTGTGCTATGTGTGTCTTGTGCTATGTGTGTCTTGTGTGTAATGTGTTTAATTTTCCACTCGATGAGGTCATACTCTACATTTTTGTTTTGACGGTAAATGTTTTCCTTCTGCATAAGAGCATCTATTCTGTGACACATTTGTCAGTTGTAGTAGGTTGGAGCAGAGCTTTGTATACATATATACAGGGTAGTAGTGTCAGTCAGACATGAAGTTCCCAACCTCGAGCTCTGGATCTTTCAACGGGTCAATAAATCCGTGTAAAGGGTTAAAAGATGATTAATGTTAAAAGGAGGAGGTTCTTAATCTACAAATGTTGTGTGTTTCTTTAAGTGCTGCACATTTAAAGACATATTATCAAAGTACAATATCTAAATCACAGGAACAACAGTTTAAAAAAATAAATAGAGTTAAAAGTGACCAAACAGCATTTTAATAAATTGAGTGCTGCAAAGCTGCTCTGGCCAACAACTCCTGAGTCCAGATGTAAGAAGCTCTGTCTGTTAGCTACAAACCCCCGGGAATGTTACATCATTTACGTTTGTTTCTCATGTGTGTTGCAAAGAGAATCACTTTCAATTGTAAGGAATTGTATTTCTTTAGTTAAAATATGTCAGCGTAATCGCAATGTGATAATCTTCAGTGATATGTGTGGTTTTAGCCAAAAAGATTGGAAATACCTGGTTTTAAAAATGGAAATACTGAAATTAGGTTCAAGTACCTCACACATGTATTAAAATTAACTATTTGATACATTTCAACCCTTTTTATGTGTTCTAGCTCAGTCAATGTGACATTTTCAAGCTTTCAATACATATAAATACCAAATATGGTCCACCTCAAATGTCTTTCAGTTCATACCAGATGGCTACGCCTCCCACCTCTCTCTGCTGGAGTACAACCAGAGATCACGTCCCGCCAAGTCCCCCAGCACTCGCATGGTCCTCCGCAAGGGCAGCTTCGGCTTGGGGGCAGCCGGGGGAGACTTCCTCCGAAAACGGAATCACATCTTTCGCACCATCTCCTCTCAGCAGCCTGGAGGGGCAGGGTCAGCCTCCCCGACTCAGCCAGGCCGGACTGAGCGCACGCTGAGCCAATGTGAGGTGGAACGGGAAAGGGTCGCCGCTGCAACGCAGAGGAGTATGAGCATAGCTGCGGGATGCTGGGGCCGCAGCGGGAGCACCAAGGAGGGCAGCGTAGGGTTACAGGGCCATAAATGAGGCTCTAAACTGAGCTGTTGGGTTTAAAGGACCCCGCCTGTACCACCATGATTTCTGGACACACCGCACACAGTCATTTTGAAGAAGTTGATGTAGGGTTTGTATTTTAAAAGTTAAAGGGAAAAAACACTTGATTGAGCATAAAGAAAAGGGAAACTAGAGCGGAATCAGTCCAGGAGGAGTGGACTAATCAGGCCAAGAGGAAATCCGAGAAGTATAGACAGCTCTGTAGCATAACTCTTTACAGTAATACTTTTATAGGAAGCATCACTAATTATACAAAAGACAAGGATTAACTGTAATATTGTAAGCCTTAAACTAATCTCGTGTAACGGGACGAACCCCCTCACCTCCATGATCTAAACACACACACACACACACATTAACGCACACACACACACACACACACACACACACACACACACATTAACGCACACACACACACACACACACACACACACACACACACGCTGTCCTAGCATTCACACTCATGAGCTCAGGACAAACTGCATTCTTCATCAGACAGTCAGACGCAGGTAAATGGCAGCCATGGTGCAAAGCCACCAAAGTGTTGCTTTGTTTCTGTCACATTGTCAGCTAAAAAAATATATTTTCAACACAACAGTTTACCCAATAAAGCCTGGCAATAACATGAAGAAGAGTAAAGAAATTAGGAAACAAAGATTTATGTTGTTTAGAGTCAGTTCATCCAAATTACCATCAAAAGGACATATTTCATGTTTACCCCTGAGGGCATCAAGCCATGCAGACAGTTTTAGTACATTTATGGTGGATTTGATCGTACTGCATTCATCCCAATACAAGAAAAAGCCTTTAGCTTCTTCAGGTTCTGGAGTGCTAGGCGAACCTTAGGAAGCTGTAGGTGATGGTAAAAATGATATTTTCTATACATCAGTGTGGTAGCAAAGTCACCAGGAGCATGTTGGCATACTGATGTCACACAAACCCATTATCTCCATTGAACTAAAAAGAATCTGATTATTTGCCCAAATATGTGTACAGATACGATGATTAGACTCTTTTTTTCCAATGCTAAACTGCCTGCATGGTGAGATTTACTTTGAATGAGTAAGAAAATATGTATTTAAGTAATTTGAATGACCTGACCTTTTTTAAATTCAGAGAGCTGCATTTGAGATCATAAAGTACAACCAGAGATGAAAGAACCTTTTGTTTAAGTCGCACGACAATTTTGTTCATCGCTGTTTTTAATCACATAATCCTAACAGGTTGCTTGTCAAGTGTTCATTCCACCATGTGTGACACTTTGAAGTATTTTCCCTTTCTCTGGGCCATCTGATCCAAGGCCTTAATATCCAACAAGATACTTTCTCCACAGCTGGAACAGAAAGCAGAAAAACAGGGCATGCAGCATTAAAGCAACAACTAGAACTCTGTACAGTCCACAGCAACAATCCCTTTATATAGTCATCTGCTTGCAATACCTCCGATCCACCTGCTGGTGGTGTTCTGTTTCCCACGTGCTGCTGCAGGGAGAAACTTCAGTTGTACCCTGGCTTTTTGCTCTTTTTGCATACAGGATATGAAGGATGTACTTGGTTTTTCTGCTGAGGAGCCTGTTTTATTTCAGGCTGGACCCTGGGAGGGAGGGAGGCAGGCAGGCAGTGTTTCCTCATTGCTCTTGCATTCATTGGCCTGTTAAACATTAAGTATTTCTACCAAATGGACCGAAGAATGGACAAGAAAATAATTCATCAAGTATTCAAAAGAATGGATGAACCTTTACTTGATGAACATGGAGGTATCCTGATCAGAGCAAACATAGTGATGCTTTAATCGACTGAACTATTCAACACAAAGGAGACAAAGACGAAGCCACTTCACATCCAAAAAAACACAAACCGTGCACAAATAGTCAAGATTTTCAGGTTCTTATGCCAACCTTACTCACTTTAAGGACCACAATTATTCATGTCAGTTTTCCAAAAAAGTTACATGCTTTTGTTTGCTTGCTGATGTTTTTCCTTATATTCATACTGGCATTAGAAATATTGACTGAACCTAATATTAGGGCTCAGTCTAATCTAAACTTCTGGGTTTATTCTAGAAAGAGAAAAAACACCTCTTTTAATGAACATTATACTGTTGTCTTTAGATATCTGAAGCCATAACTGTTTGAGTTGTTATGCTCAAATATACATTAGGCCTACAAGGTAAGGTCATTCAGTGTACCTAAAAGATCAATTTGTGTAATTTTTTCCGTCCTGTTCTGTCTTTGCCACCTGTGGTGTACAACAAGGCTCAATCCAAGGTCCCATTTCATTTGATTATATATTCTTTAATTAAACTAAACAAAAAGTCAAAACATTCTTTACTTCAAAACTAGACTGATGGCTTTTCTTAAAAACCATTAGAAAAACATTATAAACTGACCTTTTTGTAAGTGATCTGATGTGATCTAAGCCAGACTTTGCAGGAAAATCTTTACTGTATGTTTGTAAAATACTGTATAACTCTTAGGTTAGGGTTAGGGATATATCTTGGGAGTCTGTTAAATTTCTGTACACATGCCAAAGAGTTTTGACACGCAAATAAAAAAGTTCACTTATAACCCCCCCTCATTAAAAAAGTACAAAGCAGGTGTCATAATGGCCAGTATGAGCACGAGAAATAACTAAGGCAAGCAAACCTATTTTCATTTGATTAAGTGGGCACCTGTTTATTGTTTTTAGTAGGACTTGTACAGAGAGTTAGGGTGTGTTGAATGGTTTTAAATCTGGTTCACTTTATTTAACTATGCTGTTGTTTTATTCTTAGCTTCCACACAACACAGGAGTGTGTGTTTCCACTCTGTGTGTGATCAGTAATGTCTTCTACCCACCACAAGAGCCAAAATTATTGTTTAATACTGTAGTTAATCAACTGTGTAACCTCATTGTTGTTTTTTGCACTAGTTTACAGTGGAAATAATCTGTAGTTACCATCTCATGTTGCTACACTTGGATCACAGTGTAGTGAATGACACTTTTTGTTTATTTCAGGGTATACTGCTTCTGCAGGAGTGCACATGTCTGTACATTTTTTCAGGATTCAAAATAATGTCAGTAAATGTGCCAAACAGTATATAGGTGTTGAGAAGTATTTAGGCAAGGGGTTTTCAAAGTCTGACTCTAAGACGCCCCCCCCACCCCCCGTCCCAAACATCCCTGTCTCTTATTGTTTTCTCTATCCTAACTGTGTGATATTTAGTTGTGCTCACACTACAGTTCCCACAATACTTTTGGTAATGTAAAAATTAAAATGTGATGATCTAGCTATCAGGGGTTCCGGTTAAAATTCTGCCCATGAATACACAGAAATGTCATGATTTCTAGGCGTTCACTCAAGTTATGAGATGATTTGTTTTTTGGTTGTTTTCTGAACAGTTGTTTGGACATTTATACCTGATAGAACCCTATTATTATTATTATTATTATTATTTATTGTTCTGCTTTTTATGCCTTTATTCAGATAGGACAGTGGATAGAGTCAGAAAGTAGGCAGAAAGAAAGTGGGGTATGTCATGCGGGAAAGGAGCCACAGGTCAGACCTGAGCCCAGACTTATTGTTATTTATATCCTGTGAAAATGTAACTAACCCCAAATCTAAAAGTATTCATATGATGTCAGTGTGTTCAAAAATGAACTAGCTGGAACTCAGAGGAAAGAGTGCAATTTATCAAGCAACATGTGATGGAGGCCCCCCTCCCAATTCTTTTTTTTACTTTGAAATGGATTGATGAAGGTTTATGGTTGGACATTAAAGAAAATAATGTCCTTGAAAGGAGAAGCTTATTTTTGCATCTCTGCACTCCCCCTTCATTCAGCTCCCTATCCTCCACTTGGAAAGTCACCGCACATTTTGAAAACCCCTGATTCAGACAATGTTCAACCATTTATTACAGTGAGAAAGGAATAAGAATATATAGCATTTACTGATGACGCTGGATTTTGATTGTTGGTGGCAACACATTTTTAAGTCAAATGTTGACCATTTATGAAAAACTAAAGTGGCTTTTAACAGAAAACTGAAGATGTCCTTTAATTCTGAGAGCAGAGATCGAGGATTGTTGCTGTAATAATGGTCTGTAAGCTATTTTGCAAAAACTCATGGACTTTTGCATTGAGTTTTTGTTTTGCTGTGAGTGTCAGGTTTTTGGCTACAGACACGTTGTCCCCCTAAAGCCGTTTGGCTGCTGAGTTGAATGTCTGCCCATTTGGATTCTGAGACTGTTCATGAGCTATGGATGTGTCAATGTACAAACTGTAAAGATGTATATGTAGGACTTATATGTATGAGAGTTATTTATTTACCTAAAGGTCATTATGTTACTATGGAAATTTCAGGTAAAATATGTTTGAAATATGTAGCATCTTATTTGTCACTTTGGTGGTCATTCAGGCTATGGACCAACACAGGATGTTTTTTTTGTTTTTTTTTAACCAGTGCAATATTGTTATTCCAATCACATCCAGGCAGAACCGCTATCACAGCAGGGGCACAATCTACATCAATACAAGCTACAAGCAACTCACAGTCTGAAATCATACACACACCACCTGCTGCTGTGTTTCACACCTCGTAAGAAGTCTTTGTATTCAAGCTCATGTTGAACTCTGCTGCCTCTTTACAACAATACACTGCTGAGCATTTTATAGGACTTGCTGTACCTATTTTTCAAACTCAAGTATTTTACAAACACTTTGAAATATAACTGGAGACTGTTTTTTCAGTCAGCAGTGGGTGCATGAGGAAATAAAATCCCATAACCAAGCAGCTCTATTTAACAAGCTGTTGCATGTATTCCAGCCAAATTGGAACTAATTAACCGTCATGCTAAACAATAATAAACGGATTGTCTTGTCCAATATGTCCACCGTTTTTTCTGAAGCATATATTAAAGCATTTGCTGAAAGTATTTGGGATTATAATAATTATTACCACCTTTGGATAAAAAGTAATGTTCATACTTTCAGAGTCCACTTAATGTTCCTACTAAAACATTTTGTGCCATCACTTTCTGATAAAGCATTCTTTATAAAGTTACTTATGATTTATCAATGGTTTGGAATAGTTGTAAATGTAAATGTCTGAAATTACACTTTCTTATTTGATTTTTCTCTTTCTGGAAAAGGGTAAGCTGTGAAGATTGATACAACTGTCACAAGAAAGCAAGTGCCAGTGAACAACAAAACTGGACCGAGGGGGAAACATCTAGCCTGGTGCCCACAAAACTTCTTTAGAGAAATAGTTTGACTGATGGAAAAAAACAAAAAACAAATACAAGTTTTTTCAATGCATTTTTGTATTAAATGTGACACATTTGTTATCTTTAAATGTGCTGCAACATGATAAGTTATCCTGAGACTCTGTTACCAATCGTTATGCTAAACTAAGCTGAATCGCTGTTAGCTTAATTTATAAGCCAAGAATGAGGGTATCTACATGGTGAAAAGTGCCCTTAATCTATCTATCTGACCACGTGTTTCTATTTAAGTAAGCCTTTATTAACTTAATACATCCCAATGCCGGGCTTGTTCTAAGTCCTAGCTGTTGCATCAGTTATATTCTGAAGCTATACAACTGAAATTAAACATCACACAAAACATAGAACTGTGAAATCAATGACATATAAGGTGTCAAATACTGTAGGCCTATTTGGTGGCAATACCTAAAATTTATATTTTAAATACGTGCATTGTTAGAAATATAATTCCATCTCAAAATGTAGAGCATTTCATTAACTTTTCATTTAACCCCTTATTTGGCTTTCATAAGCAGTTTGATGAACTCCATAATAAATTAAAATATAGCTTTATTCAGTGATAGGCGACATTAAGGCTGTGTTTGAATCTATTTACATCATAACTGGATATTATCTCAACTGTAAGCTTTTTTTTATGAACAGTATCAAATAATTGTTTAAAAAATGCACTTATGTTGTAAAAGACCATAAGTTTGAGTCACTGAAAGTTTAGAACGCTACTTTGTTATTGACCAATTATCAAGTATTAATAAACTGTCTTAAAATGTTAAAGGGAGCTTTGAAATAAAGAAGCAGTATTTCCTTATGTTAACATTAATTGATAGAAGTTAATTGATTCTTTATGTTGACAAACTGATAAAAGCCCCACAGTGTCACATTACTTCTACAGGTGATATTAACAACTAAAAACTGAGTTGTTTTCAGACGGGGAACAGTAAGTACTGATGTGTCCAGTTTATATTTTTTCAGGTAGGTGACTGAACTCTGCCGGGGCCCTGGCTCTCGCTGACTACTTCTGTACTGTGTAATAAAAACATCCAGACGCTAACACAACATGTGTGCGTGTGATTCTATCATGCCATATCTGCATGATGTTCTGGACTAATGTATTTTTCCGTTGGTATGCCATTGTTTAAATGATGTTCTTCAAACCATCTTCAGACTTTCCCATATTGTTACCAGCAGAAATGTATGAAACCAGCTGAAAAAATATTGAAGATCCCCATTAGATGAATCCACAACTTCTTTGATTCCCTGACCTTCTCGTTAGTTCCACCTTGAATATCTTATTGAAGAATCCAACTGATTCTAGCGATACCTGGACTTTTCAACTACCATTAGGCAAGTTTACACATTACATTTCTTGTAACTATTCTCCACAATTCAATGCATTTCCAAGCCCCCCCCTCCCCCCTCCATAAACCCATGGCCCCCTAGATGATTTATCCCAAATACTGTAATTAGCTGACTTTCATCTTCTTCTATCAGCAGTAGAATATTTTCTGTTTAACGATTCTGCAACCATTATGGATTGCTTCGAGATATTATACATAACTGCATGTTCCCAACGGGATGAATCATCCTGACTTATCTTCTATTTCAACCAGCATGTTAGTTAACTTTTAAATCTCTCAGCAATAACTGGATTGATGGATTCTAGTTTTAAATAAATAAGTGGTGCCACGAGTGGTAATTCTTTTGACATCATCACTCTGCTGCTTTCCCTACATTGACACGAGCAGGTTGATGTCCTGCTCATAGCCAAATATCTGTGCTCCAACTATTGATTTCCATGACATTAAAAAAACAGATGTTTAGGATCTCTGAGGATGAATCCCATTTTCTTCAGTGTCATCTTTTTTTTCTTTTTACAAATTAGCACATACTTGATATTAGTCTTTTCATGAGAGTTGTCAATTTCAGCTACATTGAAAAGTAATATTTGATATATTCGAAGGCACAAACTTTTGTCAAAACTGTTCAGCAAGTTAGCACTCAGTTACCACAACTGATAAGAACAACATTAATTAAGAGCTGAATTCAAGAAGTCTTATCAAATATCTGTAAATATGATATTGAAGTGTCCCCATTAACAGAATACAGCCCACTTCACTTACAACTCTTACATTTCAAAATCTTTTTTCAGAATAAATGAATACAAGAAGAGCAACAAGAAGTATCTTTGCTTTATTTTTGGCAAATGAATGGATCTGCAACAGTTGAATTCAGTTGTCTACTTTTGATTATTGTGCCCACAGCAGGTCACTTCATGTAATGCATGATTAGTTTTGTCTTTTAGACCCTCCTCTTGATCAAACATACAATATATATTACATACAGTATCAACAAAAACACACAGTGGCTTATTTTACACACAAACTTGATATGTTTGTTCCCCCTTCGCTGGAACAAAGGGAAGAACAGGAGGAAAATCGTTTCAAATATTGCACAAAATGGCAAAAGTTGTTTATAAAATTGGCCAAAGTGAGGATAAGCTGATTTGACTCTATAAAAATGTATTTCAAACAAATAAATATCAACTTTTTTTTTTGTTTAAAATTAAGCACTTGTGACTCATCACACATACAAAACCTTGAAAATAGACTTCACAGGAGGATGAAGAGCAAAGACGGTCTGCTCTTTGGTTTAACGAGTGGACGGATGCATGATGGGAAGCGATGTCAGCCTGTACAGCAAAAAGAAGGTGGGAGAGAGACCAAACGAACAGAGAAGACAGTAAGTCATAAAATCACAGGCGAGCTCTTTCTTTCAGCTCTTTCGTCATCAGTGACCTTTCTCCAGTCAATATTACAGTGAGACAACAGATATTCATGTGTGTGTGTCTATAGTGCTCGAGGCCTCTTCGGGGTTATCTGTTGGCTAGCTTGCTCCTCTTCCTGCAGTGCAGAGCGGAAAGACTTGACTTTATCTGAAAGAAGAGACAAAACGGGATAAGAAACTGAAATATCAAGGCAGAAATCAGTTTGATTAGGCTGATTATACGCTTCAGACCTGAAATACTCAACATGGCAGCTTCATTTATGTCCATGTGACGGCCTTTTGTCACTCAGAAAGAGGTTCCTTTTACTTGAATGTTCCTTACAAATAGTAAGGCATAAAGTAGACATGACTTGACTTTTACAGAAAGAGATATACTTTAAATGTATTTTTGGGGTCTGGTGGCCGGGAGAGGAAAGTAGTAAGTTAAAAATGTTAAATAACTATATTAGAGTAGAGAAAGCACAGACTTTTCAAAGAGGCCTCTATGGACTTATTTGGCACGGCATTTCTAAAAAGGCCCGCAGTCAACCCATATTCAACCCTTAATCAAGCGAAAAACTCAAACACTTTATGGCCTGAACTCAAAATCATGTAACTTATTTATTTGTATTTGTTTTTTTAATAACAAATTAAATAGGCAATTGTCATGTGTGCTTTTTGCCTGAGATCATCTGTTTCCTCATAAATCATCCACCCACCAGAATAAATCATGTCTCTCATTAGGGGCTTGCTCCTGCATCTTTAATAATGTTGAGCTTAAAAAAGGGATTTCTATATTTTGTCTGGTGATGTACATTACCTCTTAGCTCAGTGAGAATGTCGATCTTCTGGTCCAGGATTTGTTCTAATTGAGTTGCAAATGACTCGACATCATAGTCCACCTCCTCCGTCATTTCCAGGAGAACCTTCTCGTCTTCAAGCCAGCGGATTGACTCCTGTGAAGAAGAAGTTTCACCCTTTCAGTGTCAGTGTGCTTGTCAATCACTTTTGGTCTGTGTATTGGCTAAATCTTGTGATGCAATAAGCGTCACAATGCAGGTTTCAAATCAATACAATGCTATGTGTGGTTATTCAACTTCTGCTTCGTCACATCTGCACTACATGTCATATCTTGTCATATATGTCATATAGTGGTTTACATTATGTATTCCTGTCTTGATTGTACTAAAGTAGTTTACTGTTAAGAAACACATCAACTGCATCTGGCTATATTTTCTTAGATCCTGTGCGTGTTCACATAGTTCTGTTCTGCTCTGCACCGTGCAGACACTAAGACGACTTCATTTGTTCAGCTGCTATTTTTCATGCTTTCCTGTGACAAGTTAAGATGAATCAAGGCTATGAGACCAGTGATGTTATTTGGAAAAAGTACTTTTATTAATCAGAGTTTTAGTGTACCTGAAACACCGCCCTGTGGTCCTCCAGAACCTGCTCCTCCATCTCCACCAGCTGAGAGACTGCCTCATGGAAAGTGAAGAGCTGTGGGGAAACCTCTTCCTCCTACAGAAGCACAAGCAGGACGGAGTTAAGACCGTGGGACAGGACAGGCTACAGTGTGGAATCCTAAAACTTTAAGATGGCTTTGGTCATGCATAATAAATTCTGTCTACACTCATTTACCTGAGTGAAAAAAAAAACAAGAGTCTGTCTTACGTTTTGTTCACAGAGCAGCTTCAGGTCGTCCCTCTGAGGAGAACTTCCGACACCCCACTGAGCCTCCAGCACCTCCAGCTGGTCGATGTGTCCTCCCTGACGGATGTCCATTGCTGCTGTAGGGTCCACCGTCAGCTCCTTCACCCTGGAAACACATTAAAACCCTCTTGTGAAATAATAACTGCTGAGGTATCTGATGAGTAGTACTGTGTATTAGCTTGTAGCTTTGAGTATGGAAATAACAGATATATTCTTTGTAACATATGTTCAGCATGCAGACTCTTGGGTCCAATGTGCATTATTATCTTAAAATATGCTAGATCCATTTGGTGGCCCAGGTCTGGAGTTTGGTGGCTCTCTAAGACTTAATGGTAACTAACACGTTGACAAGAAGCAACAAAAAAAAGCCTATTAATGGTCTATGAGGGGGATGTTAAACGGGAAAGAACTAGTTGTAGGGTCAGCTATGGAGAGGACTAACAACAGGCATAATATAAAGTGATCATACTCAAAAGTGGGAGAGAGCTCAGAGCGGCCCCCTCCACCCCCGCTCTGAGAGAAGGGAATGTCTGAGGGACTGATCCCAAACTCCTTTACTCTGGAAACATGGCGGCAAGAGGCATGGAAAAACACGAGCCACAGAAGAAGAAGAAGAAGACAGGAAAGGGTCATTACAATGTAGAAAACATTTCATGTAAATTTATTATGAGTGAGCATGCGAGGAGAAAGAAGACACAGACTCAAAGGTAAACAAGATTTACCGTACTTAGGCGAACTCAAAGATTGGAGATGTAAAGTTATAGAAAACTGATACTGTTAATTTCTAGAAAAACAAATGCACTACTTTATGTTTTATATTCACAACAGATCACATGGAGAGAAACTCCTAGAGGAATGTCAAGAGGAATGTTTATAACAAAACAAGAGGCGAGAGAAGACAGCTTTTGCCAACAATAGTTCCTTTTTAGTTAAAAAAGTTGGAGTTTTAAAGAGTGTTAGTGAGTGATTTCTCATCTTCAAAGGTCTTTTTTTTTTTTTTTTAAATATCAGTTCAGAATCATGTGTTTTACCTGTTGGCATATCTCAGCGTGTTCAGGGTGTTTTCACATGAAGCCATTCCAGGAGAGATTGTTGCAATCTGTGTAGAGAGACGGGGAGTTACATTTACATCACATTAAAATATCCGTCCACTGGAAGTGCAGTAATATACAGACTGCGGCACTGACGTCTTACCATGCAAGTTCTGGAGTTTTCTCCGATGAACGAGTCCCTTAGCACCTGGGTTAACTTGCTGGCTCTAAACGGGGTATGAGGTTTGTTTCTCCCAAGGGCCCGAATACACTCCTGCATGAAGACAGGGACTCTTAATGGTTAACATTTTGTTTACATAAAGCATTAAAAAAAAAAAAAAGTGTTTCGTTTTGAACTGTTTCAGTAAACAAAAAGCTACTTGAAGATGTTAGGTGCATATTTATCACCATTTCTTTCATTTTTGAAGCAATTTATCTAAGGATAAGTGGCTGCAGATGGGTATGCATCGATCTGTAGTCTACTGCAGTGACACACACACACACACACACACACACACACACACACACACACACACACACACACACACTATCAGTTCATAATGTGTACTGAGCCTATGGGTAAACAATTACACATGAAACTTTTGTACCTTCACAGTAATGTCAATAATGCACAGGATCTTTTTTTAAGTAGTGAGGGAAGACCTTTAGTGCCAGCAGACTTTTGTTGATCTCAGCTCCTTCTAGGCGAGTCTGACGGTCAGCGCTAGATGTGTCCGCTCCTCTCTCGTTCCCCGCAAGGTCGATGAGGGAGAACTTTCCGTGCATCTTCCCCCGTCGACGCAGGATGATCTGGAAGACGGCGTGGCTCCGAGAGGAGTGAGCGTTCGCTGAGGTTTGACCAGAAGTCCTCGAGAAAAAAACCATTAAACTTAATTCTCAAACATCTCTGATAATAATCACATTTGTTTACATTCAAACTTTGGATCTTTCTGCTAATTTACTTAAACTTAATCTGCTTCAATAGAGTGGTGTAGAATGAGTAATTATATTTACTGGTGTAATGTTTCACCACATTTCAGTAGCAAATATTTGACTCTTTCCTTCACTTAATTAGAATAACAACTGTATTTGCTAAAAACTTTAGAATAAAGTATTATCATCCCTCCAGCATAATTGAAACACTTTGATTTTTTTGGAATTAAGTATTCGTACTTTACTAAAGTAAAATATCTGAATATTTAAGATTACCTGCAGCTGTTGCCCACTTCAATGAGTTTAAGGACATCCTCTGTGCATTTCACCTCCCTCTCCTGCAGCCCGACCACCTGAACCTGCTGCTTCCCGTCCTCCAGCACCCGTAACTTGGTTTTACGGTTAAGAAGGTCGAACACCTTTATATACAAACACAAAAAGGCTCAGTATGTTGAACCTCACCTGCTTCATTTCTGTTCATCCGTGCTCCATTTGAACAAAAAGTCTGCAACACTGCAAAAATGCATAAAATACGAGACTACAGGTGCAGCTCATTTAATTATGCACCAGAAATGTTCCTGTGTTCTGGTACATAGTAAAGCTGAATACGGCAATGAGAATGTGGTTGTTATACATATTGTCCACTAGAGGGCTATTCAACATACCAATCATCAACTATATGGCATGACCAGGAGTGGTCAATTGTCCTTACTACATAATAGTAAATAACATTAGAAATAAATTTAAATTTCTATTATATTTTTTCCATAGTGGTATTAAACAAAGGACATACTAGAAATACAGAAAATAGTACTGATTGTTTTCTATTCAGTTATTTAATATATACGTCTATGCAGCAACATGATATAATAATAAATATACATCTAAAGTAGACTCTGATGTAAACTTTGGCACTCTAAAAGAAACTTGCCTTTCCACTGTAAATCTCAAAAAATGTGGCATAGATTTGGAGATCCAGCTTCTTGTAAATTGGCTTCTTTATCATGAGAAAAACATCTCTGGCTGCACAAAGAAAGAAAAACAGAATTATGTTTAACAAAGAAGAGTAAACTAGTCGTGAATTTAGAGTATTATCAGACAAACTAACCAGACAGTGCATAGATCCCTTTAGAGCAGTCCTGGTTCTTTCCAGAAAAGTCCCCTCCCATTGTCTGAAAGGAGAAATGAGTTAACCATAGACTGTAAATAATATAAAGATCTTTATACAGTCCATGGATACAACAAGAAGCGAGGTAAGCTTAAAAATCTTGAGTTCATTTTGATTCAAAGTCAAAGCACTCACATGTGTTTTCCCACTTCCAGTTTGTCCGTATGCAAAGCAGGTCGCCATTCCCCGCTCAAAAATGGTCTCAACCAGCGGCTGAGCAGTGAACCTGTGAGAAGAAAAGTCTGTTAGGAGGCAGAAATATACTGAAGTCTTCAAAATTAAAATCAGAAATGAAGAATTATGGAATAAACAATCTCATCAAAAACTGCTGCATAGCAGCATAATTTAAGAAAAATAAACAAGAAACAAACACTTATGTTCTCTCCTTTAACCTTTATTTTAATTTAGAATTGCACTATAGGACTTAACAATTTTGGGTTAGATTGTCTGTCTGTATATGCCAGCCCTGTGATTGGCTGTCGAAGAGTCCTGGGTGTACCATGGTCTCTCGACCAATGACAGCTGTGATCTGCTCCAGGATGGACGGATGGTTCATTCGGAGTAGCATTGGCCGTGTTGTTGCATTGAGTGTGCCTGGGCTTTAAGAGTTATCTAAATATTTGACAAATTATTGGTTCTTACGGGCTTCCATTTGTCAAACATATTACCTGTAAACCATTTCATTGGTCGAGTTCTCATCGAAGGCGTAGTCGAAGCGGAAAGTTTGGTTCTCCAGGTAGCGCGTCAAGTCGACTTTTTGTTTGGGCTCATGAACCATCACGACGTCCTTACTGGGAATGGTGATCACATCCAAATCCTTCACTGACAACTCTGAAGAGACGAGAAAAACGCTTTTCTTTCTATTTCATGTTTCTTTGTACATTTACACTACAAAAAATGACTGATGCTGAATGTTCAGAGGAACATTTTAGAGGTGGTAAAATAGCATAGGATGTTCATGAAAGACACAATTACACTCTCTGCTTCTCTGTAGGTAGAAGATGTGATGACAGACATAAAGCAGCATAACCCACTAGGTGGAGGTAAAAAATCGTAGATTTTGCAAATATTAATGTTCTCTATGACAAAGCCAGTGGTCAAAGACGAGACTTACCTTTTTTATTAAGGGGGCGTGCCGCACACACACACATATCCTGTGCTCCTCAATCTGAAAGATCAACAGATTTGAACAACAGATTGAAGGTGATGTTTTATTCTGAGCCTTTTTAGGACATTGGAAAAAGCCTTTGTTCAGACTTTAACACTTATATATATGCAACTTCTCCCTTTGATTTCCCTTCAAGTGACCTTCAGGTCTGGAAAATTCTCCTCCAACAGTTCCATATATACACTGCACCAGCATCTTTAAACTCTTCATTAAAGCTCTATCATTTTATACACACGGCAAAACAAATATTTTCTTGAGCTGCTCATGGTGTTTTTGTGCATCATTTTATACACACTTCCTTCAAATTCAACCTGACACATGGGGCTTATTTTGAAACGGGGAAAAATGGCTCCGAGCGTTTCAACAATGTTTGGCTGCACAGCATGCATTAGAATGAAGTGGTGGGTTTTAAGGAGCTATAGCTCGGAGAACACTCTCTAAAGTGATGGAAGAGCTTGTTTTAGTCTATGATATTGTCCTCCACAACAGATCAACAAAGCTGTGTCATTTCTGCTATGAAAAGCCAAAAATAGTTTTCTAAAGGACTCTCTTTAAATAACATACAAGTCACAACTTCTCTAATATATAACAGCTTTACTCAATTATCTGAACCACCCCTTCAGAATAGACCATTGTATATATTAATAAGCAATGTATGGAAGCTAAAAGAACTGCAGACTGGATCTCTAAACCGAGCTTACCAGATCGTTACTGGTTAGAGGCCGATAGTCCAGACTGGCCCTGAAGTCTCTGATCATACACATGATTTCATAGTTTGGTAGCTGAACATCCACCTCCTGAAAAGGATCAAACAAGAACATCATTAGAAGAAATGGACTTCCAAACAGTCAAAACCAGTTGTGCATTTTGTATATTTTAAATATCCATAAAGTCACAGCAGAAGGAAACACTTGCACTTACTGTGCAGGAAATAGAAAAACGGGTTTTAATATCAACACGTTGCCTTTAAATGTCAAAGTTGTAAATGGTGCTACTAAAGTTCTGCAGGAGACCAGAATCTCAAAGGAGGCCTAACACCTGTGGCCACATTAAGTCTTGTTTTGATGATAACTGACCAGAAATTAAACTGGAAGCACTGTCTCTTTTCTGCAACACATGTACACAAACGCATGACAATAACTAACAATAACACATTTCTATTTCTGGTCCCTTGTTTGAGTTACTTCGGCTTGACAACACATAATGACATAAGAATGATAACTGTACATTTCAGAAAGCTAACTACGTGAACATCAATTTTGACCGTAGTTATCCACTGTTAGAGAACATAGTTAGTGTGTGTGCGTGTGTGTGCTTCTAATGTGTGTGTTTTCGTCCTCACTTGTGCCCTCTTCTCTCTAAGTTCTTGTTGCTGAAGTCGCCTCTTCTCACGTTTCTCCTGCAGTTTCTCCACTTCCTTCACACAGTTTGATTTCCGCCGTGCTAGAAAATAGAAAGAGAAAAAAGCTAATAAATTAAGGAGAAAAAACTATGACAAGTCTATGTTTGTGTTCTTCAAATTTGACATCAATATATCCTCAAGATGAAATCTAGGTGCTTAAAGGTGCAGCATAGTGCTACTACAAAACTGAAGAGCATCATCAAACAGTTCAATGTACATTTAGAAGAGTTGACTCTCCAGGGAAAGTTCTCCCACAATGATCTTTATTTTCCTCAGACTGCTTGCCAGCCAAACTGTAAGAAAGGTGTTTTTGTGTAAATGTATACAAATAATATTGATCTTCGATGTATTGACTGTCAACCATTCAAATCCCTTTACAAAATATGAGGCATTAACCAATTATCAAACAAACAGTATCGAAGTTATAAGCAATAATCCATCTGAACGAGCATTTACTAAATGCTACTTTTACTTTAAATGATCAGAAATAACAAAAATCATGGTATGCAAAAATGTGACCCAAAAATAGCTATTTTACTTCCATAAATTAAAATAATTTTTTTTGATTATACTGGCACACTTTTTCTATTTGCAGATATTCTGTAGCAGACAGCACTATTTTAATTTAATATTTTAATGAAAAAATAATTCAAAATGCTCTTGTTTAAACTTACAATGAAACTCTGTCACTGAGAAAAAAAAGAAATCAGGTTTGGGATGGACAGATGTTATTTGTCAGCACGATCAAGTCAAGGTTTGTTTGGGTCTTTTTTAATTGTTGCTTATAATATAGACGATACTTCCACTTGAAGTGATTCTGCAGCTTTAAGCACATGTCATGTTTAGAGAAATATATTTGAGAGCTGGATTTTCTGCACAGAATGTGTACACAGTATAGCAAATGAATGATCACTTCCATGTCCACAGATAAAAAAAAACTAAGACAAGGGAGTCCAGAAGCAGAGCCAGTGAGCGACTGTGAAAGAGCCTTTGAGGCCTCACACTCACAGCTGTGTGGGAACATGACATCAGTACTGCTGGCCTCCACCAGACAATAACAACACACACACACACACACACACACACACACACACACACACACACACACACACACACACACACACACACACACACACACACACACACACACACACACACACACTTGTCTATGGAAAGTACCTCCAACATTATTGAACTCTGAAATCTGTCGACTTGAATGACCTCTGACATGCAGGACTCTGGTTAAAGAGTAAGTGTTACCATTCTGTTGCTGGGCCAGGGTCTGGTTGAGTGCAGCGGACTGGGCAGGGATTGCAGGAGGGGGGGGCTCTGCAGGTTGGCTGTGCTGACTGGGACGAGCCCGGGTGGTTCCCACTGCTGCAGCTGAGAAAAACACAGACTAAGATATTAATCCATTGGTGCAACTTGGTCATTCCAGCAAAGTTACAAAATAAATAATACTACCAATATGTCTCCCTCATAGATTGGCAAAGTATCTCCTAGTGAGACATCTCGCTCGTACTACTCAGAGAACCGGGGTTACAAAAGTAACCTAAAGCTTTGTAAACATTTCTTGGCTCCAGCTTGAAATAAAACAATTATCCTTATTCTTAAGAGTGTCTTTAAACTTGCATTTTGCCATTGCCAAAAGACTTACTCTGACTACATTTGTTTGTGAGGGAAAGAACATTTAAAAAAGACAGAAGTGGATCTGTTAGATCAAAAGTAGGCTGAGAAAGGCTTTTCTGCATCAATTGTCAAAAGCTTTTCTGCATCAATTGTCCTGTGGTCACAGAAGTTGGAGCAGTAGCATTGGCAGTGATCATCGCTTGTTAGCTCTGTGACCGTTTTCTACACCAAAAGAATGTAAATAAGAAAGTTTGTGAAAAATATGTCTTAGATAAGTTGATGTCAGCCACCAGGTCAGGATATGTCAAGATCCTGGCTTGAACTAAACATACCTCTATTCTCCCGAGGAGCATTCTCAGGTTTGGGTATAGCTGTAATCCGTTTGGTCTGAAAAAAGGAAAAAGCAAAGAGTGACACTAAACTAATCATAACGTTTCACAGAGTTGAAAGCGGAAAGCTTTTTTAGACAAAGAAACATTTGATTCAACAGCCTAAAAGCTATTATCCGTTTATTTTCCTTTAAAAGAATATATGATATTCACATTTGCAATGATCAATTTTACTCTCAGCTTGATCACAAATAAATAAAATGTAAAACAAGATCTGTTTGAGACAACTTTTATTAGTACATACATGTTAAATAAAATCATGTTTCTGATTCAGTTTGTGAAAACACTGAGAAAAATAATGAGAATGCACACAAACAAATCTTTGAATTTCATGTCCTCAAACCTGAAATCAGAGCGTGACTTATTAATTTAGTGGAACAAACACCTCTGCTCTTTACAGCAGAAATGAACATCTCTTGAATGAGGAAATACAAAAGAAATAGCTGCAGACCTTTGGGAGTTTGCTGGTTTTGGTGACATTGGAGGGAGGAAGAGGAGCCTCAGGACTTTGTGGAATCTCTTCATCAGGAACAATGTCTGGATTCAGAGCAAAAACGCTCTCCAGATCAATCTTAGGCAGAAACAAGACAGAGATTATCATCACCTCTGTTTTTAAGAACTCCTTTTATTGAATACACAGAGAGTGGAAGCGACACCAGACATCCATGTTTTGTTCTAAAAGTTAAAACGCTGGTTACAAAATCTAAGTAATGTTTGTTACATCTTAAGTACACATAGCACAGACTCTTGCACTTTCTGCTTATTCGCACTTCTGGTGAGATGCCAAACCTCATTTCGTTACTCTATACTTGTATATGTGTAATGACAATAAAGTTGAATCTCATCTCATCTCATCTCAAGTAACTAAGAAGACCGACTTTCAACTGCGTGAAGGTTTGAATGTCAAGATCAGGCATGTATCTATCTATATATACATATATAATTTACTTATTGTTATATTTGAAAGTCTTTGACACACACCATAAGCCAATAAAATGTACTGACAAAAAGTGGAGTAGGCTTACTGTAGTAAGTACTTCAGTAACGTTTTCTTTTTTTAAATGTAAGATCATTTTGATATGGAGCGATGAGAATATAATGAAGGAAGTTGGTGGCAGAAATAGCAAGCAGAGATTACCTCTTTCCCTTTTGTGTCCCCATTCTCGATCCACTCCACTGTCACACTCTCGTTGTCCTCGTGCAGGGACGTGACCATGGCCTGGTGTATCCGTCCTGCAGAAAGAGGATGTCAAAGAGACGCACAGCCTGCTCAACTGCTTGCTTAAGAGTTATAATAGTTATGCAGGCTGCTTTAAATCACAGAGGCGGGCATTAATTCATCTAATGAGCCGTTAACTGAACGCATCTCCAACTGAGCAGACCGTTTCCAGATCATTTCCCACAGCAAAAAAAAAACCAAGATACCATGTAAAGATTTATGCAGTTAAGCAATAAAATAAGGATACTGGATGCTAATGGGTGTGGCTCATGATGGATGATGATAGACTTTTCACTGTGTCACACACAACTTTCAACACATGCATTAGCTGGCTGTAATTTCACACTCAGCAGACAGTCAGTCTTATTAAAATAGTCATGTGTGTGTGTATGATGAGAAACGACATTTTTTATTTTGGGTCAGAGAGATGGGGTGGATGCAGTAAGAGGGGAGAGGCCCCACTGCTTGCAGAACATCCTCCAGCCCCATGAATCACAGGCCATTGCTGAATGATGCAGTACAGGGGGATGGAGCACACAGCAGCACCGACTTGAAGGGTTTCAGCCATGATTTACAGGAGAGATGGCGAGGCACGGCAGGTGTCCTTTTTTTTTTTTTAAAGCCGGACACATGCACAGGTGGACGGACCCGCCCGCCTGCCTGCCTGCCTGCCTGCCTGCCTGCTCCCCCCCTCCCCTCCCCGGCTGCTTCGGTGTGTGTCTACATGACTGACAGCATGACTAATAACGGAATAATTGGTTGCTTTAATGTGCTTACACTTCACACTAAAAAGGTTTTTTCTATTTTGCACGACATCCCGTTTAAAACGATGATGTAGCCGGCTAGCTAAGCTGCTACTGCAGTGGCACACGGGTAGGCGACCCGCCGGATGGAGAGCGGTGCGTATGTGCGGTCCTGTCTGTGTTTGTGAGGAGCTAGCAACGTACCGTCGCTCCGTTTTATCTCCACGTAAATTCCCACGAAGATCTTCCCGAAAATACCGGCCATCTTCTCCTCCTCGTGCGGTGTTCCCCGGTGTGAGTGCTCGAGCTTGTGTCTCTGTGTGTAAGTTGTGTGCTGCTGCAGAAACTGAGGTCACTGACGGACAGTCACAGGAGAGGCAGGAGGAGAGGAAAGCTTCGAGGTGCGCATGCGCGGGTGGTGTCACCCCCCCTCCTCCTGGAGCGGTTGGTGATAAGGAGCATCTTGTGGTGGAATTAAAAAAAAAGAAAAAGAAGGGAAAATGTATACTTCCCAAGGTAGGGCATAGCTTTAGGATGAAATTCATAATCACAAGTTAGATCTCCAGATCATTAAACATAAGGAAGGAAAAACCCATTCACTAGTATTTAAAAAAGCAAATGAAAAGATATTAAGTGGAAAATATGAGATAAAAGATACAAAGTTGTACTTATGACATTAAAAAGTCATGATTATGATGTAAAAAGGAAATGATTAATTATTTTTAATAGGCCTACAATAGACTTGTGCATGAGTAAGTTGTCTATTTAAGCTCAACACTACATATTTCTAAAATATTTTCAGTTAGTTCTAATATGTTCTTTAGTTGTTTTTTTTTTTTCCATTTTTGGAGTTTATTTCCTGTCATGTTATGTTTCATTTATATAATATGCACCGCACTGAGCCACAAAATATCTTTTTTTTTTTTTACTTCAAACAATGAAATTCTCATTAGTATACTAAGCTATATAAATATGATAAAGAGAAGTTACTAAAATAGAACTAGTGTAGAGAAGAAATGTTGGATAATAGTTGTGATTTTCCTCATTGAACACAGGGTGGCAGCAGACGGCTGTTACAAGATCAACAGATAATTGAAACCATACACTGTGTGATTGAATCATGGAACCAGTGAGCTGGTTGGTATGTTTTAGTATTTTGGGGCACTTCTGTCAACCTGTTCTTCCGGAAGTAACACAAACACACACAAGAAAAAAATATGAGCGCTGTTAGCCTTATGGTTAGTAGTACAAGCTCCTTGTTCAGAGACTGTTCTCCAAGCCGGCTGCCCGGAATCAAATCTGACCTGTGGCTCATTTCATGCATGCCATTAACAGCTCTGTCTCTCTCCCTGATTTCTGGCTCTATCATGTCCTATATCTAAATAAAAGCTTAAAATTAAAAATTAAACCTTTTAAAAAAAAAAAAAATCAAAGTTCCTGTTTTAAAATTACATTTATGTTGTTAGGGTTTAGGGCTAGAGAACGTTTGTAAGCTCACTTTACTTTAACAGTTTTAAGTCAATGAGTTTCTATAAGTGTCATATCGACTCAGTGAAATACAAACAGTTGGTGCTGGTCAGCTGATCATGGACCATTGCTTTTGTTATAGACAAGAAAGAGGGAAAATATATGATGTAGATGGTTACCACAGACTGATGGATGGATGACAGTGTGATGGGTTTTGTGCGATGTGTATTTTTTTGTATGGACATTGTCTCTGTGACATCACCCATTATCTTCTAAAGTGTAGTTTTGAAGCTCAATGACATTGGTTGTCGTATTGAAAATGATATATCAACCTAACTTTGGATCAATTTATAAATATGCAAAGAGGTGGGGCGCACACATCAGGCAGTTCTGCCTTAGTATCATCAAAATGGATGAATTTGAAAAAAATAACTCCACATACAGGGTGTTCCAAAAAAGATATGAATAATTCATAGCACTTTTTCAGACCATGTAAACATGTTTATTTCTGATAATTTATTATGGGTGTATGGGACTTCAAGGGCTTTTGCAGCCAGCATTAAGTGGATATTCCAGGAACTGCAGTTTTTGGTAGTTTGGCATTGGCTTCATTGTTCAACACCATACTTTTCCGTTTGCTTAAAATGAGTTCTTTGATTGTTTGTGGAGTTTTTTTCAGAATGGAATCAGTTTCAATTGGAAAGGAATCAATATGGATTAATCAGCACCAACATTATAATGTGTAACCTGAACTCTATAAACATGGATAGAAAAGCACTACATAAACATAATTGTAACCAAACTAGATGTTATATGTTCAAATGAAAAGTTATATGGGCAGCAGTAGCTCAGTCTGTAGGGACTTGGGTTGGGAACCTGAGGGTTGCTGGCTCAAGCCTTGAGCAAGGCACCAAACCCCCTCCCCACCACCAGCTAAGGAGCACCCACTGTGGGCCGCTCCATCACCCTGACATCTGTCCATTAGTGCATGTCCATATGATTCCTGTTTGTGCGTGTGTGTGTACTTCAGCCTATGTGTGTGTTCATGACTTACAGAGTGTAAAATCTTAAATGTATCTAAGTTTCATTATGCCATTGTTATGAAAATGAGAGTTTTAAAGTAATACTTGAATTTGTTGTGTTCCAAATATTAGAAGTCCAAAATTGAGTAAGGCATTGAGAAGTGATAAGGAAAAATTAAACAAGTAATTGCTACTGTTAACCCACTAATTAGATTTTTAGTGTTTAATGTCTCATGTCCACTGCATGTTGTGTCTTGAAACCTTTTACTTTTTCAGTTTTCTCTGGCAATATTTGCAAACAGACCCTGGTCCATTTGACTTTTAATTGTTGGTGACGTGAAAACATTGTGGATACCTACATTGAGTTTATCACTTCCTGATTCTGTATGTGCCAAGTTTAGGTCAAAACAAGAAAACAAAACCAGGCCATTACTTGCATCACTGAGAACTTCACCTACAGTTATTAGATATTAAACTAGATCAAAGGGTAAGAATTTGTATCATTTCTTTTTTTTTCCTTTTTTCTTTTGGCTGGTAAATGGTCCATTTCCAAGTAGAGCTAACATTATTATATGTGGGGGAAAAAGGCGAAATACAGAATTTCACCACCCTTCTCCTTTAAAATGCCAACATGTGTGATGTAATAAGCAAGGCCTCTTTATTGCACCAATACCAGAATAAAATAACATCTTAAGACAAACTGAAGGGAAGGCTGTTGAGATTATTTAAATCCATTCACAGCGGTTGATTTAAACATGTTTCCAGCAGCCCAACCTTAAACCCAATCCCAGTCTCTCCAAAAGCCTCCCCCTAGCTGTGCCCATCGCTCCCCCTGTGTACGAACCATCTGAGACGACTGGAAATGCATTATTCACACATTACCCTTTTTTTCACTGTTATTAACAACATACACTTTCTCTCTTTCCCAACACACACTGAGGAACACAAACACTGACGCATCCTCTCGTTACCCATCATTCCATCCTGTCCCCGAGGTGTCGGCCATCACTGTCTCTCGTAGGCGTTTCCCCAGCAACCACAGTCTCCCCTGCCAGACTACAGAGAGCGCTTTTTTTCTGTTTGCTTTGCTTTCTGGAGGATTAATGACCTTACATATTAGTAAGCTGGTGTAGGTGTGTTGTAATGATAAAAGACACAACACAATGAATTAATTTTCTTTTGAAAGAATGCAAAGTCTTTTCATTTAACTATCTCAGGAAACATGATCCTGAGTTAATTTGGCAGCAAATACAGACTGAATCCAGACCAGCTCTGCATGCATGCATATTTTTGAAGATCATTCGCATTATTTTACATACCAATACTCCATGTAGAGCAGCTACTGCAAAGGATCTATTTTGCAATAATGGATAATTCATGATCTGCTCAGACACTGCATATGAAAATCCTTTGAAGGCGGTTTGGGACTTGGGGAAATTCCCCTTTCTTCCACTTGCCTTCACTTTGTACAGGCCATGCTTCTTCTGTTTTCGTGCCCGAGAATTCACACAGTGAGGTAATGTTGCTTTCTATCAGGTAGTATGACTCACCTGTGGTGTAGAGGCTATTATCAGGCTCCTGTATCACATTTACATCATTCTGCAGTCATTTCTCAGAGGTGCCAGGATATTTGAAGAATCGATTGCTTTGAAAGATCTTAAACAGTCAGAATCAGAGCAGCTGACGCCTGATGTAAAGAGAAATGTGTTTTATACCTGTTTGTCTTTAGCTTTGTGTCTAATCAATACCAGAAGAAGAAAACATGTTACTTGCGAACCCCTCGTTCCTACATTTAAAAATCTCAACCAATTTCAAATGTGGAATAATTAAACTATCTTCAAAAGCAGTCTGGCAAACACTGACAGGTTCTTTTTAAGTGTAACTTAAGTGTGTGATCGTTCCTCTTTTCTTTGTTTGTCCGGAGGAACCAACTCAATCACATTTGTGTGAAACTGGGCAATACCTAACTTTGACAGTTGAATTATATTCAGCTGTTCAATACAAAGATTTGACTATGATTTCATTCTTCTTCATTTAAGCATATACCATAACATGTGTTTATATAATATAGTAATGTAAAAAGATTAATTGCCAAATATGTTTTAGAATTTCAAGTCACATCACAGTGTTTATAAGCTAACTGATTTGACCTGTTTGACGATATAAGTAAGGGTTAGCTCAGCTAACAGCTCCAAACACTGAAAGCAGAGTGTCTGATAATCACAGATTTTTAACTTTGATTTATTCAGTGTGTACAGTTTTTAATCATTGAACATGAGAAAGGAATAGATGTCTGCAGATTAACAGCCTCTATAGTAAAACCTTGTGAGTAATGAACAATGCATGAATATTGACCTCGCATGTACAAACAAGCTAGCAACAGCTCAGGTTCCCCATTCTGACTTGACTTTGTCCACTGAAGAGCATTGGAGATTAGATTTGAATACCTCTTGTCTGGACCTGCAATGTCAGCTTTAGTGCATTGTTGACTCTCGTCTGACCTGTGCAAACACATGTGCATATAATGCCTGCAATTCCACTGCTAATTATTAATCACCGTCAACTATAAAGAAGCCGGCCTGAGAGGTCTGAGAGGACAAAGGAGGCAATCGAATTTCCGCCCATTTTACTGATTTCATTTCCACGTGGAGGCCTCAGTCCTTAATGGTTTCTGGCAACGATGGGGCCCTTAGTCCTGTTCACTGGAGCTGCAACATCCCCCCAGGGTTTCATTGGCAAAGAGAGCTATCGTTTCTCCTCCCTTGATTTCATTGAATGAAAAAAAAAAAAGTTATACTTGTCGTTAACCTCATGTGCTGTGCTTTTATGCATTAAAATAATCCAGGCTATTTGACTGAGCTAAACAATGTCCTTGTGTAACTGTGGAGGTCAATCGGACGTGAAATGAGATCATTAAGAATTCA